GTTAGTACAGTGAGAAAGTGGAGAAGATAGAAGAGGAAAGCAAACTACATACCAACATCGAACACCAGAATCGAAATTGAAACAGGATTGGAGTTTGATCTTGAGGTCTGAAGTTGAAATAGCTGAAAACCTAATTAAGATCGAGTGTGAATTGGTTGAGATTTGAACCTACAGTTGAAGTGAATTAAAAACAGAAAGAAGATTAAGTTAGTATTGAAGAATGAACGAGAGAATGAATAATAAGAAATTATAAGAAATGAAAAACAAACTTACTTAAATAGAACTCAAGATTGAAATTGAGGATAGTGAAGAATGAGATAGCGGAGATCAATGAAAAGACAATTTAAAAACCTTACCTTTTGTGATTTGAAGAGAAGAAAAGTCCGATCGGAGATCGAGATGAAAATTGAGAAAGCAGGAGGGAGGGATCGAGAGAAGTTATCTATGAGTTTGTTTTTTTTGTCTCGTTTGTGTAGGAATCTGTGGTATCGTTTTTCTTTTTTTTGTGATCCATCCAAGGGATCATCAAGTGTTCTTTTCGTGTGATTCGCGTATTAGTGTGGATCAAAGAGTGTTCTAGTGTTAGTTGTTAAAGTGTTCTGATTGTTGTTATCGGCTTCGTGTCCGTGTCTAAGTGTTTTAATCGTGTGTTCAAGTGTTCTTGACATCGTATAAGGTTTTTTTTAGAGTGTTCCATCAAAGAATCAGAATATCATCGTTAGTTAGTGTGTCCGATTAAAATCAAATCATCGTTTGTAGTGGTTGATCTTGAAGAATTGTAGTGTTGTTGTTTTATTTTTTTTCTTTTATTGTAGTTTTGCTGAGCTGAGTCGTGAAACAGTTGTCAGTTGGTTGGATTCAAGCTCAGGGCCGGGTTTTTTTTATCAGGGCTTTCCATATATCATTTTTTATCATTAACTTTTTACTCATAGCAAGAATTACATTAAACTCAAAATCTACATATCTTTGCTTCAACATCTAGTATATCTTTGTGTAGGGTATTGTTGGATTCTGCCAGATCTTGCGGTTTTTTTTTAGAAATATCAGAATAGTGTTACGTGTTAGACTTGTGAAGGTAGAAAGTTGTTAGAGAGTTGCTTCCTTGCTTTTTTTATTTTTGAACTGTTATTTCAAGGTTGAGGGCAGTCTACGACAATCATAGTTTCACCCGCATCTTGTTATTCTTTCTGCGGTGATTCTTCCCCTCTCCGGCTCAGCCTACGCCACACAGCGTAGGAGTTCTACAATGTGTTTGACAGAAGAGAGAATGCTGACAATGGTGTCCCAAGTTAATCAATCGGATTCCAGAATGCCATCAGAGATACAAGTATGCTTCGATAATGATGGGAGGGCTTGCAGGTTGACCATAGTGATGAGCTCGCGGAACTCAACTGCATCCATCAAGGTGATTGGAAGCTCTCAGTTGACTACTAACCAAACTAGAAGATCCTTCAGGTTTGCTTGGTTGAGTTTTCGGACCTACATATTGAAAATTAACAATGTTTGATTAGTAATGTACTAATAATTAAACATAGATTGATGAATATGAGAGAGGTCTTACTTTTTGAATCTTTCCATCAACAAAAAACACGGCCATAGTATGTTGCTCGGTTGCAACTGGTGGTTCAGTATGGTGGCATCTGGATAAATGTCAAATCATAGATTTAGTGCTGGCGTGTTTGTCCAAAGCAAGGGGTTTGTTGCATATCACAGCTGGAGTTTTGGTGTCTTTGACAGCAGAAGAATAGATGAATCCTTCTTTTGCCTTGCAAATGTTCTTCATAATACCGTCAATATCTTCTTGGGTGAAGTACTGCCACACCCAAGAAGAGCGTGCAGTCGCCGTGAGGTCAGAAGCAACCTCTGAAATAGAATCCAATGGGGCAATACTGCTGGTAGGTGCTAGACTTGCTGGGCTTGTAGGAGTATTTGAAAGGGAAGAAGAATTTGCCGGTCAGAAAAGTTGCAATGACAAACATGTGACAGGGAGTGAAGATATAGGCATCTTTGGTGATTGCTATTTGATTTATCATGTATTACGGGATACTGATTACTGATAAGGTTGTTGATCAATTGAAAAAAACTTTATTTAGCTTTAAAGTTGCCCCACTGCAGATTTTCATGTTTGGCCTCCCGGCCGGGCCAGGGCGCCGGCGCACGACCGGGGCTTTTGTCAGTGTCACTAGTTTAGGTCTCGGTGGACCGGGTCACGCACTGTCTGCCTTTGAAATGTCGCCGGGCCGGGCCGCAGCCTGCAACCAACACACCTCTGGAGGACCCCGGAGAGCTCTTATCGAGGTGCATGATGTAAAATTTTTTCCTACAGTACACACACTTCACCACAGTTTACATTCATAAAAACTTCACCAGATCCCTTGCTTCTCCCTCAATAATGGCTAGCCAGAAGCAAAGCACTTTGTTGACTGTGAATTTCATACCTACACAATTGTGAAGAGTTTTTAACGTGGTGTGGATGCTGTGAAATACACAGCAATTCACAGCAAGCATAAGAAATTAAAATATTTTACATCACGCACCTCTACAGGAGCTCTCCGGGGTCCTACCTCTGGTCTTGCATCACAAAGCTCATAACAGTCAACTGTAGAAGTTGTTTCAAATGAGAACTCAGGGATTTGTGTCCATTGACCTTCCCAAAAACTTCAATTGATATGTTTCAATGTTAACCCCCATTAAGCACTCAAGGATTTGCGGATGTTTCTGGAAAGCAGCTTCCAGAAAATATGAAGATGAATGACTACCACAAGTACATTGGAGCAGATTCCAAAACTTGTGACAGGGGCCACATTGGCAATTGTTTTCAACACTCTTTCAAAGCAGATCATGACAAAGGATTTCACAAGTTGCCCCTGTACTAAGCTTTTGTAATTAATGAGTCCCTATTTATTGCTTGGAGAAAATTTAAGCAAAAGTTCCTTTGAAATTTTCACAAGGTCCATAGAGTCTTATTCATCCTTATTCATAATTTTAGAAACGTGGCTTCCAGTAACATGAGTTACTTGATACAGTGAACAGAGACCGATGTCTGCATTCTCTCTGATTTGCATAGATCAAATGCTTCTCAGTAGAGTTTTCTCAATTTAAAACTCTGTGTAGAACCTTCTCTGTAGACAGTTTTCATTCTGATGGGGAACAGAGTTGTTGCCTTATTTTATTTCAAATGTGATCCATGGCGGGAGCAATGTACCGCACATATTCTTGGGGAGAGCGTCGATACTACTGAGATGGCCTTCAAGACTGGACATCCGGCCAGAGGTGTTGTATAGCACAGTGGACCTGAATATGATCCATCTGTATGTGGTAATCCTTTCACCACATAATTGGGGTTGTCGTTGGATGCAAATATCCGCAAATGTATCGAAGCCTCATCTCATCAACGCAAATGGACCCAACAGATCAAGAGGTGAGTCGATATTCAGTAACGCAGCCCTGGTACATTCAACGGGTTGTGGGATTTGATTCCAAGAAGCACGAGCAGGGGTAGATATTTGGCGTAGCATAGGAACTAGATTTTCGGAGTTTGATTGACAGATCAGCAATATTCCCAACTTTGACAATATCAAGATTAACTAGCAGTTCAAACAAAAAAATCGGATCAAGTGGATCATCTAAAGTCCACAGTGCAGATTATTTTAGGGGTTGTCCTGGACAAACTTGAGAAATAAATTGGAGTCCCATTTAGCTATCAGCAGACCTATGTATCACGACGAATTGTACGAGGTGGAAAGGCCGGGACGAATTGCTACTTGATGTGTTATGGCCACCGGGAAACTAAGAGCTCTTCAGAACCAAGAACTGACTAGGTCGAAGACAAAAGGCACTGGATCGAGAGACCACGAATGTCATGAAAGAATCAAGGTTCATATGATCAAATTTCACGTCAGTAAGCTTGCACATGTAGAGCTCGAGATTAGAGATCTCATGTATCTCCACCTACAGGCTCGAAGGGTGATGACCGTGTACACAAAGCCTTCCATCGTTCGGCGAGCCTCGGCACGTGCGATTGCGATTTGTGCAGCAGAAGGAGCCGCTTGACCTGGTTCAAAAAAGGATCAACAAACATGAGCATCAAGGCCACGAACCATCATAAAGCTTTTCACCCTTTAAAATCGAATGTGCTTACCGGAGAACATTTTCTTTCAGGTTAATGGGATGTTGTCAAGGTATACAAACTGCTCAATAGGCGGCGGGACTTGACGAAAAAATGGTTCTTAAGACAAAATCGGCCCAGCCGAGGCCCGACTCATCACATGATGTATGGGATTAGAGAGGCTTTTGGTTTACACCGCTTCAAGAAAACTTCTTGATCATCCCCAAGCATCCCCCATCAATGGCAACATCATCTTGTCACCAAGATTTGATTGACTCGTTCACTCGAGCTCAAAGCTATCCTCAACAGGGCCGCCCTGGAAAACAAGAAAAGTGAACCTCATAAAGATTCTACGTGGGCTCTGTCGTAAGAAGCAAACGTTTCAAATCCCAGTGCTTTTGATATTCAGATGGACTTCTGGAAGAAGTAGAACACAAGTGAAAGTCAAGTTGTACAACTTCATAAAGGTACACTTATCTGGTCACGACCAATTTGCCGTGCTGGACAAAAGACGAGAGCGACCCGATCGTTCTTAGGCCGAATTGGTCACCGAGTCAAGCTTGCATCTTAGCGACTCAACTTCCTTGCTTGTGCAATGGACGCTGAGCCGTGAAAGAGCATATATGAAGCTTTAGCATCCACAATCTTTTTTCGACCCATCAACTACTTTTGCGGACCAATCAAGAACCTACTACTATTCATACAATCAGTCATTCCATCCACTTTTCGACCACTTTGCAACACAATCACCTTTTATTTTCATCTTCTTTTATCTTTCATTGACTCATTCAGTAGTCAGAAGCTGGTATTCCCTTTCTGCAGCGCATACTACCTTTAAAAAATCCAAAACATATATCAAAAAAAAGACTATAAAATATACACATTCGCACAAATGCTTTCCTTCAACTCTTCAATCAACGTGATATTATCTTGTTCATTGATCTTTTCTAACATTCTTCCTGGGGTTCTTGGCCATGATTACATCAAATATTGGTCTCCTGACAATGGAAAAACTTTTGAAAAAGGACACAAGCAGCCTTTAGCTAAAACTGCCCTTCGGGATGTTTCCGAGAATACGGGTTGGATCGGAAGTCAATTCCTTACTAATCCTGCAATCACCTGTGGATCTAGTTCTACACCCAGTCAAAAAATCGCTCCGCCAGGAGGTAAATTGTTTAGTGATGCTTCTCAAAGTGCCGGAAAGACTATGGCTGTTCAACCAGGTGCATCTGTTCATCTGATCGTCGCTGATGATCCAGGTAAAGGGTCAGTTGTGTTATATTTTCTCATTTCCCAGCACTTTTCACCCTCCAACATCCTCACTCACACACAACCTTTTTTCCGATGGCACATCCGATAGATTTCCTCATGACAATGGACACATTCAAACGTATCTCGCATACTGTGGTGAGAGCCCCACGGCTTGTCAGGATTTCGATGCAGCCTCAGTTCCGTACTTCAAGATACAAGCAGAGAGAGATGTTTTGTCCAACAAGAAGAAATTTCCTATGAACAAAGCTAGAGACGGAAACGAGTGGGCTATTCCAATTCCCGACAACCTTCCAAAAGGAAGTTACATTTTACGATCTGAAATGTGAGTTACCGGATTTTTACACCTTGCACTCAAGATTTTTTTCATGACCCGTTTAGCCATGTATCAGCCTATCAATTTTGCTTGAACCTCTCATCTCATCTCTATGTTTATGGATATTGACTCTTTTCACCCGACCAATCTTACTTAGCATTTGCCTCAATCAAGGGACCGAGGCAGAGGGAAAACAAGATCAATACTATATCACTTGCGGACAGATCTCGCTGTCAGATCCCACCTCGGGCCCAGTCGACTTATCCAAGTTGGAGACCGTCAAATTCCCCGGCGCATACAACAATGGAAAGCTAGACCCAGCAAGCAAAACATTACCCGGACCAGCGCTCTTCACACCGAACTCTGAGACCGAAAGTAACGTTGTTAAAGGAGCCGTAAGAGCCGTTACTCCAACAGCGCAATCACCGACGGAAGCAGCCCCAAAGACACCACCCAATGCAGCAGTGGCAGCATCACTCAATGACACTGGACCACAATGCGCCAAGTTTTGTCTTAGACAGAACTTGCAGCTCACACCCGAAACTCTTGCCCCGGCCTGTGGGTCCAACAAAGACCCCAACTGTCTTTGTGCAGATACTGGATTTGTACAAGCGTTCATCAACTGTGCGCGTGATCATTGTCAAGTAAGTGAAATCCACAAGAAACTTTCTTACATCAATCAGGAATCTCAGATCATCTTCCTTGGCTCATCTTTCATAACGTTATCCTTTGAAAATTAGGCTAAGTGTGAAGCCGAGAGCGTGATAAACGAGTTCAATTCCAAGTGCCAATTACCCTCAAGAATCCATTGTGGGCCTCAACGGGTCGATCAAAAATGAGCCAAATCAGCTCACAATTCCCTTCTTACCTTCATATTTGCTTTATTATGATACCTTTTATAAAGCGCTTTACCGATTTTTCTTAAATTATCTTCACTTGTCAGTCGTTTCAGGAAAACAAAAATATAACTGTCTAGTAGAAGTTCTATAGTCAGTGACTAGGTGTAAAAATTCAATCTTTCTAACTCTATTACTCTCTTGATGTTTCTGGAATTCAATGTTAAAGAGTCAAGTATATATGCCGGACTATTTAGTCGATCCCCCAATTTCAAGGAAACCAGTTTGCCTTCCATGCATGATTCTGCCGTACCCTTCACGTCATCATACGCGACATTGCTTGATGATTCACATTCTGCACAGACAACTTATGACGAGAAGTATGGTTCGGAGTTGTACACATGGTAACAATAACGGTATATTCAGTTCTTTTCGGCTTAAATGTGAAAATTGTGTCTTTTGAATGCTACTACGCTCTGTTTGATGGACCCCATGCAGATAAAAGTGTTATACATAACCATGGAAAAATCTCGCTAATCAAAATCGTTGAGCGATTATCTCACGCATTATGAAATAATCAGGAGTTTCACGAGCTGTGGGTTGTCCTCTTTAAAGCAAGACCCAAAGATGTTAAGCTAATCAACATAGCAATATGTCAAAAACCTCAATCGTATAAAGATTTCAAAAAACCGAGATAAGTGTATATAGGCTACAATTTTGGCCGGAAAAAGAGCTAAGAAAGTCAAAGTAAGAGTAAGATCTAAATCAAATGATACAAAGGAAAGAAATCAAAGGTACAGTAATGAAGAACAAAGTATGAAGTAGTAAGATGATGATAAAATGAAAGATTCCTCAAGGTAAGCATTCCTATCTATTTGCCTGTAGGACATCGTTGGAAGGTTCTATTGTTTCCCGCTTATGAATCGAGTTTGGGTAAAACAGTTGATGTCCCATTCTTGGTTGGAGCAGTAGATGTCCCGTTCTTGGTTGGAGTAGTAGATGTTCCATTAGTTTTTGGATCAGTTGATGTTCCGTTCTTGCCAGGAGTCGATTTATCGGCATCTTTACCAGGTTTACCATCTGGTTTAGGTTTCTTCTCATCTGAACTTTTCTTATCATCCTAATTGATTCAAACCAAAATGACAGATCGGTCAAAAACAAAACTCAATCATTCTAATAGTAAAGTTGAAGACAAACCTTTTTTCCATTACCCTCTTGTTGTTGTTTAGCCTTTAGTTTCGCTAGTTTTTCTTCTTCATGAGCGATCTCTTGTTTGTATTTTGCAATCTTGCTTTCTAATTTAGTGATCTTAGCTTGAATAGTATCTTTGGTTGGGATAGCTGTACCATTGGTATTAGAGGTACCATTGCTTGAAGGACTGCTTGAGTTAGTGATCGGGATCACTGAGCTACTGTTACCAGTACCGTTCATGGCTGGCGAACTGGTTTGCATGTCAGAAGCTTTTCGTGCCTGTGATGAAATACAAGACGTCAGCATGAGTTCTGAGGATGATGGCAGATGACTTGAATGAAAGTGGCGGATCTTTACTCACTCCGATACTGGATCCATAAGCGACTGAAGCGCTGAGCGAGACGACTAGGCTGATCAAAGCGAATCTCATCTTGAAAGGGTTTATGAAGAAGTATGTAAGAAAGATGAAGTGATGTGAAGTGAGAGGTTGATAATTTGATTGGACTATGTACAAAGTTAGAAAACTTGAATGGAATTGATGAAGATGAAGAATGAATGAAGTGAAGCAAAGAAGCGATCCATGAAGCTCTTTATACCCAACTCAAAGACGTAGCTACACGCCAAACAAATGCTGAGGACGTCGTTGATTGGCGGGAAATGAAGATTGAGTCACTCAAAGACAAAAACATTAGCAAGGGTTTGCTATTGCCATGCCCAGGTTCGGCATTTCATTCTCCATAACGATTTCAAAAGAACTGGAACGATTTATCATAGTCGAGGAATGAGGGTCCAAGTGGTTGTCAGACTCGACTTGTAAGCTCACCGTGCTTTGAATCTGAGTGATGGAGAATTTGATCTTTAAATCGTCAGGGTATATGGCGCAGAGACTGAGGTATAATATTTTTTGCTTGCAGAAGATTCCTCTTGATCACCTTTTGCCACGTCAACGTTGCTACTTAATACTATTTACCGTGTCATTTGTCTACTGGGAATGAGATCAGCTTGTTTTAGAAACCGTTTCGGATCTGACAGAAGTTGAGGATGACCAAAATGTGATTGGACTCCCCTGTAAGGCTCGATGAAGATTTTTCCAAGGCTGTGCAACAAGGCCGAACATTCCGTAGGTTTGACTACGACTTGACTTTTCTTTTCTTTCCTGCAAAACTGTTGTTTCATCTCATTCTCTACCTCTCACACATGTCTTGTTGAAATCCGATCAAGAGTTCTTGTAGGGAGGATCATCTAGAGAGCCTTTGTGAAGGAGATCGATTCTTTCTTGACTCTCAACCTGCTCTTCATTTCTGTAAAAAAAAAACTTTGAAGGAGATCACTTCCAAGTTCCTGAGCCTGCGCATGTGGTAGATTTGATTCAATTTTGGAACTCACTCCATGATTCCAGTCTTTAAACTTACACCCAAAATCCCTTCCCCGAGATCAACGGATCAGTCCACTCAGTCCACTCTCCGGCTCCCACTGTCCTCCACTCATCCAACCATGCGGTGATGATTGCATTTATCATGATTCAATCACCCAACCTCTTTCCGCAAAAAAGTTCAAATTTGAATAATTCTGATTTTCAAAATTTCGCATTCACCCAAGTTCAAGACGGAGGAAACTTGGTATGTTTGTAGTATGACGTATGAAACGTTTTGTATTGATTTTCAAGCAAAGCTTGTGAAATCAAGTGACTGGAATGATTTGATGAAATGTAAGTTGATGAAAATCATCTTTTTGTAATTCCTCTTGATCATTTGTAAGATTATGATTCAAGATCAAGATAGATTTTGATACACTAGCACGATGGGAAGATTGATTCTTTTAGAGCTTTAAACCCAGATTTGATTAAAATGATAAACTCTCGAATCACCGAGTGAATAAAATTGTGAAACTGATTCTGATCAGGCTGAGGAATGAGAATGAGAATGAGAATGAGAATGAGAAGATAGATTTGAGTTGTCGTCGTTGAATTGATCCATAAAGGAAACTCTTGAGTCTCTTGACTCTGAGCCAGTGATCCAACTTTGATAGTTTCCATTTTCTATTCTATTCTCGCTTAACCCACTTTACATCACATCACATCACATCGCATCACGTCACATCACATCACATCATACATATCGCCTCAGCTTACCTTACTTCAGATCTCTACCTACTCGTTTTAATATCATCATCATCATCATCATCAAATCAATCTCTCTTGATAATCCAAATCATTGATTGTATCTTAATAAATCATCATCCTGTTTGTTTAAAATCTCAAACTTCAACAGATCAAATCAAATCACAATCAACTAAATCACGAATCATTATCATCAAATCAACGTAGTCTTCAGTTCATTCAAGATTTTTGTCTGAAGTCGAATCAAGTTGAATTCTTCTACAACCAATCATGTCTTCTGCTTCAGATCATGAATTATATGAATCATACAATACACTTATAGCTACTTCTAGAAGAATAGCCAAAGAAAGAAGAGGAAGTGAACAATCTAATCTAATCAATCAACCACTTTCAACCAATCAAACCAATCATTCTAATACTATTTCTACTGAATCTTCTAAATATCAATCAAAGTCAAGTTATCAAACTACAAAAAGATTAACACCTATCATAATCACTGAGAGTCATATAAACAAATCAATAGATCATCAAGAGAATGATGATAACAATTTAATCAGCACTCCTATTCGAAAATCAAATTTAGAAATCAACCATTCATTCGATCTCAGTTCGCCAACATCACCCTCACCATCAACACCTCCGTCTATCACTTATCTACCACAACCAAGATCTCCAACACCCTCAATCTTTACCAAATCATTACCACCACCCACATGTGCCTTACCACCTACACCAGATCGGACTAGCACTTCAAAACTAGAGAAGAGGATCATCAGAAAAGAAGAAGACTTGACTAAACCATCGATCAAAGAAACCAATCTGGTGAGCCGAAGACGAAGTTCTAATACGAATTCATCTGTCATTACACCCAAGAAGACTTTAATTCCAGCTCCATCGATCAGAACAGCCAATCCAACATCAAATCCGAATCCATCCATCAGTAGAACAAGAGTCAGATTAGCATCAATGGGAGTAGGAATCCGACCTAAAACTGCTCCATTACAAATCGCAGCAGCATTAGAAAACAATCAAGCTTCTTCTGCTTCTTCCACTTCTACTACTACTAATACTACTACTACTACTAATGATTCAATGAATAGTATTAGAATATCCAAACTACCGACTGTTACTCATCGAATCCATAGTATAAACAAAACAGTCAAGCTTAAACATCAAAGTTCATTACAACAAATCACGAATTTGACACCTACAAGTGCTTCTTCAAGCAGTGTGAAACAGATCATCACCACTAAAAGGAGTGTGAGTGATTTAGTTGCAAAGATTGAAAGAGATCATCAACCTCAGAAAGCACCGTTAAATCATCAAACTTTCATCAATTTAAATCAAAGGAATAGAAAGATTTCTTTGGCTAGTTTACAAAGTGATGCTGGATCTGGTACTGGATTGGTTAAAAACATTGAAAATGATGAGAATAAAGAATCGATGACCAAAATCATTGAAAGTTTGTGATTTCTGTTTTTTTTTCGATCGATCGATCGTTTTTTTTTGATTTTTACTGATGAAACTTTTTTCTGTATTTCTCTTGTTGATATTTCTTTTCTGTTGACCGTTTTACCCTTTACCCTTGTTTCTGTTGAATTGATTTGATTTTTTTTTTGGTTACGTGTTATGTTACATGTGTGTGACTGTGAAATGTGTTGTGATTGTTTGATTTGATTTCTAAATTTTCACTTTTAATTTTGATTTTTGATTTTGATTTTTAATTTTGTTCGATTTCATTCGATTGATTTGTTGATCACACCAATTCACCAATACTACTTACTTAATTAATAACAGAATCGAAGAAACCTATTGTAACTCATCAAACCACTACTTCATCACAATCACAATTACCTTCAAGTTCAAGTTCAGGTTGAGTCTTTTACTACTTTTTCAATCTTCATTCATCAAACTAACTTCAACTTGTTTTTCTTGGTAAATTCCAATTCAGATCGATGGATTGAAGAATCAAAAAATGATCCAAATCCTCCACCATCATCATCATCATCATCAATAATCAATTGTAAAAATCTAGATCATCATCATCATCATCATCATTCATTTAGTTTATCATCATCATCATCATCATCATCTAATTCAACTAATCATTCAAAACATAATCATCAAACTAATCAAAACATCCTTCAAAGTCCATCAAACCAAAGCTTTTCAATGGCCATCTCTTCACCTTCTCATCAATCAACCTCTTCTCAATCACAATCAAAACAATCTCAATCTCAATCTCAATCACAACCACAATCACAACCATCACAATCCTCTTCTCTACTTAATACTTCACATCAACCAATCAATTCTAATGTCAATCACAACTCCAATCGAGCCGTTCGACCCAGAAGATCAGCTGCTTCTTTACATTCGATTCCTGAACGTAGATCAAAAGAACTCGATCAACCTCCACTTCCAGTGCCTCCTACTCCTTGGGTAGAACCTGCTACTCCAATCCTCAATCCTCCTTCTCGTCAAGCTTCGTCTTCTAATTCAGTTTCAGATCAATCACCTCACCCTTCTCATTCATCCTTCAACATTCATCCTTCACATTTACTCTCACCAAACGATTCCAATCCTGACACTGATTTCGTTCCACTAGATAGTCCTTTACCTTGGGGTACTCAAGACACTAACTTTCCTACCACTCCACCGGCTACCACTAACACGCCTGGCTTACGCGATCAACGTCTCTTGAGTAGGTACCGTGCCACTTCTCAATCCCTTTCTACCCGACATTCAGAAGGTAGTCAATATGCTACTTCCTCATCAGTTTGGACTCCTTCCTCAGTCGCTGGTTCTCGACTAGGCTTCGATTCCGTCGATAATGGCGCTCGTACGTCCGTTGCAAGTCGGGATTCACGCTTCACGGCTGAAACAGATTATGAAGACTATTGTCCAAAGGGTTCACAACATCCAACTCCAAGTGCATCTGCTCGATCAATTCATTTGGCCATGTCTGCATCTTGGCATGGTCAACAACCTGAACATCTTTTCAATCGGCCTTCTTCCTCTCCGTTCATTGCACAAGCTGTCCCTTTGGTTCCTAATCCTGCATCTGAGCATCTACAGACGCCTACGATCGCCTCTTTGATGAATGTGGAAGAACAGTCTGAGATGGTCGGACTCGGTATCACCTCTGATGAGATGGTTAGTGTCAGTAGAAACTCTCGTAGTCCATCTCTCACTGGTCGTCTACCCGAAAGCTGGCGTCCTAGCTCTCAAAATCTGAATCCCTCTAACAAGCTATCAGCACCAGCTTCTAATCCTCATACAAACACATCATCGTCGTCTCTTTCTTCTCCTGGTCTTGACTCACCTCGCTCTCGTTCCGCCACTCCTATCATGGAGCCTCCATCCTCAGCCCCTCTGAGTAACATCTCCATCAAAACTCATTCCCTGGGCATGGCTGTCAATCGACCACAGTCGAGTACTAGCCCTAGCACGCCTGAAGGAAACACTCTAAGTCGAGCACCTAGTTTTCATCAAAAACAACAACATGAACCTGATCACGAGAAATCAAATCTAGGCTCTGGCTTCAATGATCCTACTGATGCTTCTAAAGCACGCTTTTATGAACGTCATCATCAAGCTCATTGGGACGATCTGGATGATGGATCACCTGTCTTGGCTTCGAGCGCTGAAATACCTAGTAAGGCTGTCGTTTTGGCGGAAGAAGGAGGTCGGATCATTGATTTTTCAACCATGAAATGTCCATTAGAAGAATTGCATGTACCCGATGGTAAGTCTGCTTCCTTTGGTTGATCATTGCTATATTTACTCATTCTGATTTGGATCCTTTCTTTGACGTTTGCTTCTATATAGATACTACTCACCTTCTGATCACCAAGACACAGGGGCCCTTCATACTCAATTCTTTGCTTACTTCCTCTTTACCCAGGTCGACGTCTACCTTGGTGGTATTAGATATTAGTGATTCTTACTTGGCATCTTTACCATCCGTGATCGCCTCTTGTACTGCTCTTGAAGAACTTAACATCAGTGGTAACATATGCGCAAGTGGTGATCTTCCTGCTTGGATTGCTCATCTGGTCTCTCTGAAGGTTCTAGCTGCCGATCGATGTGGTCTCATCCATTTAATCAACCCTCTCGGCAGTCTTCTTCATGTTCACGATCTCTCACTTCGCTCTAACCATCTGAAGAGTCTACCCTCTTGGCTTTGTCACCTTCAAGCTCTCGAGGTTCTCCTGGTAGATGACAATGAGTTTGAACCACCTTGGCTTGAACTTGCTGAACCGTTGCTTTCGTGCAACTATCGTTCAAATGAAAGTGACGCAAACTTACCAACCGGCTCCAGTGCTTCTGAAAACGGATCGCTTTCTAGTTCATTGGCCCATGGTCTACAACCCCCTCGATCAGCGCTTAGTGAAGCTATAACTTCATCACATCTCAACACCAATCCGACTGCCGATTCTGCTGGCTATCATGGTCGAGCCTCGCGTCCAACTAATGGAAGCGTGGATTATTCACGTGCCTCTCAGACTGGCTCTTTGCGGCTCTCACCTAGTCAAAACGAACGTAGGCTAGAGGGTGTTGAATCATTGAGTCGTCGGAATAGTTCCATCCGTCGATTGCGTAGTTCTTCAAACGAAATGAGAGCCACGGTTGCTCGGCCTAATTCTTATCACGATCATAGTCCCTCCTTGGCATCCTTTATGGAAGCTGAAGATCCTTATCAACCTGGCCTTGGGCCTGCTGGTGTTTATACACAACCTCAAGTTCAATCGCAACTGGACGTACATCATTCACTTCGATCAGCGCCAGTAAGTTCAATGGAAAGGGTGAATCTCTCAGTCTTGGATCGATTTCCATCCAAAGGAGTTCCACAAGGTATCCATATCCCTCCTCCTCAACCGCCTCAACCCAAAGATCACAAAAAGTCATTTGGATTCTTGAAGAAAATGAGCCTGGGTAAACTGCGGCGTGAGGTGACAACAGGCAGGGAACGTACCAACACCTTGGAGGCACGTGGTGGTTCTGCAGTCCCACTCACGGTTTACGAAGTTGATCCGCCCATTCGACCTCATGCGAACCCTCTGATGGAATCACCAAGGGCAATCAGTGAAGATGCTGTGATGTTGATGTCACATCGGGAACCACTAACTTCCCCTATCAGACCTGTGATGGCAGCCACACAATCTGCAGACGCTGGTCGCTGGAATAGTCAAACTACTCAACGTGAAGTGGTTAACAATCGACGTCGGAGTTTTCTCAAAATCGAACCTTTTGTTGGTATCAGAAAGTTTGAACCACTTCCGATGATTCCTACTACTTGGACCCATTCTATGAGTGATGCGGAAGGGATGGTAGAAGACTTGATGTTGTCCACTTCGATCAATCAAGAACCGAATACCCATCATCACAGGGCTTCAAGCGAATCACCTTCACAACAATATCGTGAACCTCCATCACCTGCCTTATCACACGCTACACCATCTCAATTTCCTCAAACCAATCGATCCTCTACTATTGACCCACGTACAGGACTTCGTTCAATTATGATGTATTTACGTGATGTTCATGATCTTTCGGGAGAGCCAGCTGCACCTGCAGGAGTGAATGCTAGACCAGGTTTAGTGTCACGAGCTTCAAGTATAAGACAACCTTCATCGAAATCGGTCAATCATCCTGATTTCCAATCCTTGAATGGTAGAATGTATAGTATGGCCGGTATGAGTGCGATGGCATCTTCACTTGAGATTGATACAGAATTAGACAATGCACATTCTGCTTCCATCCATCAATCTCAAACTTGCTCACCTGTATTACCTTCAACCAACTCTGTACCTACTGAACCTCCTCGACCAAAGGTCAAGGATAATCCAGGTCGAAGTTTAAAAGTGATTGAAGAGATCATTTCGACTGAAAAATCATATATCAGAGGGTTAAGAGAATTACAAGATATCTACATTGCAAGTGCAACAGCCGTGTCAACAAGTGGGATTGGAAATAATAAAGAATCGACTGTACCTAGTTCAGAACGAAAAGTGGTGTTTAATAATGTAGAAGCGATCATTGGATTTCATGTAGAAGTACTTTTACCTGATCTACAAGAAGTAGTAGATCGATTATCTAAAAAACAATTAACGATTTTAGCACCTAATGAGATTCGATCGATTGCAGCGATCAAAAAGAGAAAAGAACAAGAAGCCAATTCGATGAATTCAAGATTATCAGCTGGAGAAGATTTAACCAGTTCAACGATCTCTACAACCAATGAAGAAAATGAAGAAGAGTTTTTGGAAAGACAACGAAATGAGATTAATGGAGAATTGATTAAAGCAGCAGCCGAAGAATTGGCTAAAGTGTTTATTAGACATGCAGCCTTTTTGAAATTGTATTCAACTTATATTACTCAATTTGATCTTGCATTAGAAAGGTTAAGAGAATGGACTGTCACCGTTTCACATCCACCTACGATCACCAATAATGGAATGTCAAGCGGTAGTGGAGGAGGGGGAGGAGCTTCATCTTCTTCTTCATGGGCACCAGGATTGAATGCACCAGCAGGGATTCCATTGACTACTAACCAAAAGAAAAAATTAAAAACTTACTTGAAACGATGTAGAGCTAATCCATCACACAGTCAATTGAATTTAGAATCCTATCTCTTGATGCCTGTACAACGATTACCTAGGTATAAATTACTTTTAGAAAACCTTCAGTCTTGTACGCCTGATCGACAAACGCCTACTACTGAACCATCTTCATCAGTTTCTTCTTCGGTTGGATTAGTAGAAGAAACCGGACTCTTGCCTAATCAGATGGTTAGTGAAGCTTTGAGTTTGATTAGTGCAGTGACGGCTGAGATGAATGAAAGGAAACGAGATTCAGAAGGTAGACAAAGATTGGTAAGTGAAGTTTTTGGAAAAAGTTGAAAATTAGATACCAGAACCAGAAGTTGAGAACTGATCTTTGGAATCGGTTTGCGGTTTCGAATCAAAAAATAGTTGTATTGGCAACAAAGGTTTGGAAACAAGTTTAGATCACCTTTGGTACAACCACATCGAACATTAATTAAAGAAGGAAGAGTAGTTAAGTCGTCTTGTCATCATTTTCTTGATGATGATGTTTTTTTGGGGGTTGTCAGACATTAATATATGCATTCGGTTTCCGTTTTTTTTTTCTTTTTCTTTTTGTAGACATTGATGCGTACCGTGAAATTAACGACTAAAGATGTTGTTTCTTCTACTGGACAGAATATTAAAGTTAGAGTTTCGGCTCTTAGTACTGATTCTCAAGCTGTTACAATGGTACGGGGTTTTTTTTTCAACAAACTTACAAAGATTTTCTCGAAATCGAAATTTGTGAAACTAAGATTATCTTTTTTTTGGGGGGTTTTCGATTAGATCTTGTTACTTTGTACCGATTTACTTGTTTTGGCTAAAGAGTAAGTGTGATGATCAAAGACCCTCCCCCCACAAAAAAAAGACTGATGAACTTTGTCTTTTCTTCTTCTTCTTTGGTTTAGTCCTGGAGATGGAGGATCAGGACCGGCTTCTTCACCTGCTTCTTTACATCAAGCCTTGAGACTTGCACAACATACAAGGAATTTGTTGAGTACACCTGCTACGGTTTTTGGAGCTGAACAGACTAGTTGAGTTTATTTATTTTTGGTTTTCTGAGTTTGAGATTCTTTGGAAGAGTGTAACTTTTGAAAATCGAAAAAGAAAACTGATGAATTGTTTATTTTTTTTTCTTGTGGTTGGGGATGGAAATCTAGTGGTTAGATTTGTAGATTCAAAAGCGATTTTTTATTTTCAATGTGATAGTCAAAGAATTGCTTCTGAATGGGCAGTGGCTGTAAATCAACAAGTTCCATTACTTTAGATCAAATCAAAAAAAAAACTTATTAAACTCAAACCAAGCCAAGAAAAAAAAATTGAAGAAGTATGGAAGATTGGAATTATAAAAAAGTTTTTTTTTCTTTTTCATTTTTTTTTGATCTTGATCAATTTTGAGTTTGTAAACAGGAGAGAGACAGGGAGTTCTTTTTGGATAGATTTTATTTATTTTTATTTTATTCTTTTTTTTGCTTTTTTTTTTTCGTTGTCTGTCGTTATTTTTTGGGTTAAAATCAAAGTGTGTGGGATGGGTTATGGTTTTTGAGTGAAGTGGGTTTTTTTTATTTTTTGGGAATTTTTTTTTTTGATAGATTGAAACAAAAAAAAACAGTATAGAATAAGAGAATTGGGTTGATTCTTTTTTGAAAAAAAAAGACACCTGTTTTTCCATAAATATATAAGTGTTGTATTTGATTTTTTTTTTAATTTTCTTTTTTTGGTTTTTGGTTTTTGGTTTTCTTTTTTTTTTACTTTACACTATCACATTCTTTTTATATGTTTTTTTTTCTTTTCTATTTTGCATTTATTTATGATCAAGAAGTTATATAGATAAGATATATATGGTTTTTGTTTTCTGTTTTCTGTTTTTTTTTAAAAAAAAAGATGTCTATTTCTCTAGATGAGAATGAAAACATTTTTGAATGATTTTTTTTATGGTCTTTTAGACTCTTTTTTTTACTGATTAGTTTGATTGGTTGATTTTTGAATCGTTCTTTTTTTTTAATATTTATTTTACAACTTGTTTTTTTTTTCGGCTTTGATTTCTTTTTTTCCTTGATTTTCTATAAAGTGGTACAGAAATAAATAGAGAAAGTGTTATAAAATTGGGTGATTTGAAGTTTTTGCAAGGTTGTGATTTTTTTGATTATGATTAAGGGTTTGGAGAATGGGTGTTGCTATGGCCAATTAACAGGAGTACTGGATATATACAATAAAACCTGTGAATAGGAACTGGGATTCCCTCCACTGAGTATGACTGAAATCAATTGATTTCTTTTGATCCTTGAAGTTGATTTGGAATTGAATCTGTTTTATGAGCTTTGGTGTTGAGACTCTAGAGTGTCAATCCATTTGAAGGTGATTTTGATTTTTATGAAGTGGCTGTGTTTGATAAGATTTCATATTTGTTAAGTCCTTTTAAGATAGTTTGGTTAATAAACTGTTTTATATTTTAATCTGTTTGTTTTAATTGAAATCTAAAATGAATTTCTCATAATCCCTTTGGTTTCCAAATCGACTCTTTTCGTCTCAATTCAATTCACTCACTCTACTTCAAACCATCCAATTCCATCATCTTATCAATCCTCTATAACTCTTCAATTCATCCATCCAATCAAATAACCTCAGTTTTATCATTACAATGGCCGACTCATCGGCAACTCCTAATAAACCTCAAGTCGATAGTCGTCCGGTTCAGGTGAAATTGGTTTTATTGGGTGAAGCTGCTGTTGGTAAATCTTCAGTTGTACTTCGATTTGTTCAAAACGACTTTCAAGAAAATAAAGAACCTACAATTGGTAAGTTTGAGATAGTAGAAAAACCCATGAAATTGAACGACTTCGCCTCTTTAACACTTGATTTCCTTTTGATTACTTTAAATTTCAAAATTAGGTGCTGCTTTCTTAACTCAGAAATGTAGGTTAGAAGATAAAGTGATCAAATTTGAGATTTGGGATACGGCAGGTCAAGAACGATTTCATAGTCTTGCACCTATGTATTATCGTAATGCTCAAGCTGCTGTAGTAGCATATGATGTGACTAAGAGTGTAAGTAATCTAATCTTTTACATCTAATCGATTCCAGATTAGGTTTCTTTTGGTTTCTCTAATCTTGATTTTTCCTTTAAATAGTCTTCTTTGGATAAAGCTAAATCATGGGTTAAAGAACTTCAACGTCAAGGTAACCCTAATATTGTGATTGCCCTTATCGGTTGGTTTAATTTCATTTGATCAGATCAAGATACGTTTGATTAGAGTGTTGAAGATTTCTGATTCTTAATCATAGGAAACAAGATCGATCTCGTTCAACAAGGTTCCGGTTCTTCTAGTTCTGGTTCCTCAAATGGTGATGATGAAGCAGATGATGCTACGGCTACCCCTGATAATGCTGCACCTGCTGCTGGTTCTTCTGATTCAAACACAAACCCTTCTGCATCTTCTTCTAAACGACAAGTTTCAAAAGATGAAGCTGAAGCCTATGCTAAAGATGCTGGCTTACTCTTCTTTGAGACTAGTGCCAAGACAGGTGAAGGAGTTGTAGAGGTCTTTACTCAGATCGGTAAGTCTTTGTTTCAATAGTTGACTCCTTCAAATTACCGATCTAATTCATTGAACGTCTATCTCTTTTCTCTCTTTGCGATCAACACAGCTGCTAAAATTCCTTTAGAGCATATCTTATCTTCTACTCGTGGTGCGGCGGGTGGAGCAGGTGGTCGAGCTGGGGCTGCAGGTCGTGGTACAACAGGTTCGGGTAATGATGATGGAAGAGTGAATCTTTCAAAGAATGATGAACAGAAGAAAGATGCATGTGGATGTTAAAGTGAAGAATTATGTTACGAGTTGGTTCCTTATCGCAAGGCTTTAACATCTATCAGCCTATTTAATTGAGTTTTAAGACTTTTGAACTTCATTTCAATCTACTTTGTGTTAGAACTTAAGCTTTTTGGTTTTCTTTTTTGTTTTGTTTTGTGACGGACATGCATTAGATAAGCCTTAGCTTATAATGAATGGTCCATTCCATTCCATTACTATTAGAAATCTATATTGTATTTTTAAAAGTTTTTTTTTTTCTTTTTTTTGGTTCAACTTCTTCAGAATAACAAATCTTCTTTTCTTTTCCTTCTTATTCTCTTATACTAAAGATTTAAGTGTTTTTGCTTTGCTTTGATACTCTTGAGAATTTGATTAAAGTTGATCATCTGTTTTTTTGGTGATGCTATGGAAAAATATCTTTGTGATTTTTACTATATATATAGTCTGTTTCTTGACTTTTTTATACTTGATGTGAAGGATGAGTGGTTTTGAGATTCACCATACAAAGTGTGCATATGGAGGAAGTTCTAGCTAGTTTCATCATACATAATCCTTTGGAGAGTTGGAAAAGATTCTATGACATTGTTTGTATCCAGTTCTGGTTTGTTTCTTCATTAATGTGAAGACTCACAAGCAGAGACTGGAAGGATGTCAGTTTATGTAATTTGACCAATGTTGAGACAACTCTGCAGTACCAGATACTTAGCATAGAGTGTAGCTGTGCACCACTGTCTCATATGATTTCTCCAATAGTATAGCTTGCTAAGCTATGCCAGCAGCCACAGTCCATGCTGCTGTAGCTGGGTTTTGCACCTCTGTTCTACACTACTAGGTCAAAATTCATGTAGCAAAAGATCTTCTATGACCATGTATAGCATAGCAGCCTACTATTAGCTATGCTACAAGGTACAGGTAATGTGGTTGTCTCATTGATGGCTTCACAGATTGAGTTTAAAAAATGGATAGTTGATGAGCATCATTTTTAACTATACACTAGAAATATTAACCTTTGGTGTTGAAAAAAATAGTCTTTTGAATTTTATAGTCCCTTGGATCTTACTAATGATTGGTTCTTGATAAATCTTGAGTTGGTTTCTAATTTTGTTAAGTTAAGATAATCATCAAAGATGAATCACCCTTGAGTTTTCCTGAGTTTGTTTTGGTAGTATCATGATCTGAGTGATAAGCCAAATGGAAAACCAAAGGAGATAATGAATCATTTTAACTTGATCAATTTAAGTAGAAAATTTGAGAGGATTCAAGATCACTTCTGCTGGACAAGTGGGAAACAGGGGGTAGCTGAAAGTTGAATGTGTGCCAAAGGAAATGTGAGTGTTGGAAGTCTTTCAACAGGTTTGTAAAGCTTGGGAAAGGGTAGTAAAAGAGTTGAATTTGACATCACTCTCACTGTCCTTACAATTCTCTCTTCTTCTCAATCTCTGCCCCCAGCCTTGGCATTCCAGGGTAAGTCCTGCAGCCAGAGTAGGGTCCCTATTGTGGGCCTTGAGCTTGGCTGAAAGCTATCATCTGATGGGATCTGCTTTTATAAAGAGGATTTGTTTTGCCCCAGAGTTCCCCTCACACCAAAACTTGTGTCAAAGTTGAATAATCCCACTTGCTAGTCCTCTTTGAAAAGGAACCAAATACAGTCAACTCTTGATGGATGTATCTAGTATATAATCTCACACTATAGACATTGAAAAATGTGCACTGATCTTTTCTCCTACTAGCCAAGTATTTTACAATGTATGTTTATCACCTGATTAACAAGGGGTAGATTACACCAATCTCTATGCTTACATTATAGGTTGACTGTAGTTATGTGTTTCCAGTAGCTGTAAATCAATGTCAACAATGGGCAACTGTGAAGTGTAATTTCTCCGTGTCCTTGTGGCAGTCTCTCGACAACAAGTGCACATGGACTGCCTTTGAGGCACAAAGGCGACTTGTGTGCGCTTGTCAACGGGCAAACAGCACATGGCCATGGTGGCTGGTTTGCAAACAACGCAGTGATTTTTGAAGGGTCTTATAGGTGAAACACAGTTGGAAACTGCAACACTATCCAGTCAAGCTCTGACAGGCAAACTTTTGGTGTGAGATATGGGTGAGGATGCTCTGTTGTGGTGATATATTGTTTGCATTATCTATTTATGTGTATTGTAACCCCAAAGACCTGGGGCCATTGGACTGCAACAACTTGAGCTTTACCCATCCTGCTGTGATGAGTTGCAATACTGGTTGCCATTGTGTTGCACACTTTTTGTAATACAGTGTGCCATTCTTATAGTCATGAAACCACAGCATTAGTTTTGCATGATTTGTAGGGTAGAAAATTCAGTGTTGTAGTTGTCTTGTGGTAAACTTTTCAACTTGAGATAACCTATTGAGACTAAAGAAAATCATGTGAACATAGTAAATGCAGGAATGTCAAATCCAAGAAGAATATCAAAAATAAAACACTAAACTCAAAAAGAATAACATTTGAATGAGCTCTGTGACCAATAAATTCAACAACTCTTGTGTGATGGAATTGACCAGACCACTCATTGGCTTGTACCATCACATGGATCAAACTTGAGTTTGTTGAGTTTATTTACATGATACTCATTTGTGTTACCATGTTAAGACCTCTTCTCTGAGGTCATAGGGAGTTCACCAGGTATTACTTATGACAGATTGACTGTTCAAGTGCTTAAGTAAGCTTAGGGAGATGTTCTGCTTTTCTTCCATTGCCAAGTTATTTCAGAACACTTGAGAGAAGTTTCATGTAAGTGGATCATCAATATTCTTTTGATAGAAGAGTTAAGTAAAATGACAACTATAAGCTCATCCATTGTGATAATGTGAAGTTCTGATAGGATTGTTTGGATTTCTTAGACCAGAACACTATCTTTTATTTCTTCTACTCAACAAATTTCTCAAAGTTGAAACAATAAGGGTACACAAACATTACAACCCATTTGAAAAACCCATTTGAGAAAAAATAGAAAAACCCATTTAAAAAATTATTTTTTTGAACAGAAAAATAAATTGGGTTTCTCTGGAATTTTTTGTTCAAAAAAATATTTTTTTGAATGGGTTTTTATATTTTTTCTTAAATGGGTTTTTCAAATGGGTTGTAATGTTTGTGTACCCTAAATATTCAATCCTTGAATAAATATTTCAAATCTCTTGTTTAATTATGCCAAGGGGATATGTGATTCACTTGTTGAATGCTTGACCACATGATGTATGACTTCAAGGGACATCAGGTATATGTTTGGGTCAGGGATAGGGATAGAGAATACTTACTATCTTATCATGAGAACACCAGACTCTACATGAGTCTTTAAAATATTTTTCACTTCAGAAATTGATTTGATCATCAAAACTTATATCAAACTTGGACACATCTTGTGAACTTTGCTGAAGAAACATTCCTAGTAGTTTGGGTTCAGTGATTGTGTATTAGGGGTACACAAACATCTCAACCCGACCTTAAAAACCCATCCAAAAAAACCCGTGCCAACCCGATTGATTTTGAGTTTTTAGTGCTAAAAAGTCCAAAAATCAATCGGGTTGCCATGGGTTTTATTAGGGCGGGTTGAGATGTTTGTGTACCGCTATTGTCTTTGATGACAAATGTCTATGACCACTGGTAAAAGAATGAGGACTTAATAAGTAGGTATCTGATGAGTGAGGATCTGTTCAATTAGAATTCTACTCTACCACTCAAGTTTCACCCACATTTTCCAAATGACGTGCTCTTAACCAAGGTGGTACTTATCTTGAGATGATGCTGGTTCTTTGTTTTACCCCATGTAAAGCTAATTGTTTCAAGGAAGGATGAATGAAAGATTCAATAAGCTTCAGGATCAGCATTTAAGCATAAAATGTCTATTTCTCTAGAGTTAAAAAGTCTTCAAATATTTCCTGAACGGCCTTTCCTATGAGTGTTTTAAAGATGTCAATAGTCTAGACCACTTGAGGGAGAATTAAGATGAGCATAAGAATCAATACAATCTTCAGCTTGAAAATAGAAAAGTGGTAAATATTTGAAAAGAATTATAATCAGTTTGAATCAATTCCAAGAATTCTTCAAAGATTCCCTTGTATCATTATCATAACTCAAGAGATAGATAATAACTGCCTTGGAAAACATTCCCACAAAGTTACATCTAATCATGTAAAAGTTCATCTTCATGAATAATGACATTCAATCTCACTCTTTAATTTCTGTATGAGAAATATGTATGTATATACATTTTCCTTGTATCATCATGTGATTCAAACAATCTGATTCTTGAAAAACTTTGTTCTAATTCCTGCAGTCAAAGAAGAAATCCATCTTCATTGAATTTGAGATCATTTGATGCAAACTTGTTTATCTTTTCAAGAACCTTGAAAATTCAAAACCAATGATCATCATTTTCCTTTTGTCTTTTTTCAATTATCTCTTTATTACTTATTTAATTTGTTTTTTTTTCTTTTTGACAATTTCTCTGCTTATTTCAAAAAAAAGAACAAAACAACAACAACAAAAATCAAATTCATTCATTCATTTTCTTTCTCTTTCTTTCTTTTTCTTATCTTTCTTTGATTCCTTTTTTTTTCATGAAATTCAAACAAATTCAAACAAATTCAACACTTGAAAAAGAAAAAGTATCAAAAACAAAAAAAGAAAAATCATAAAACATATAAAAATTCATCATCAGGAAAAAAACAATTTTTGGAAATCAAAAATAATAAAAAACAATTCCATTGATCAAATCAAATCAAATCAAAAAGCACCCCAGCCTCTCTATAAAAACCCCGCATGTAAACCTCTCATCTTTTTTTTCTTAATAAAACAAACCTCATCCCCTCCACCACCACCATTACCACTCCTTCACATCACACACAAGATAACCGTATAATCAAACCTACCAACCACTTTTCGATCCATCCATTAGTTGTGCTAAAGTACTAAAAACAGAAGGAGAAATTAAATTCGATTGAGAAAAGATTTCGATTAAAGTTTGACGGTTTCCCATCAAACTTGAAGGGACCATTGATTGATCATCATCATGATGATGATGTTCAGCAATCCCATTCAAATCCTTTGTCTTTCGGTCCAAGACCTCTTCAAGTTTAATCTCATCTGTTTCTTTCATCTTGGTTAAACCTTCTTCTGGATGAACGGTCAGATTCGAATTTTCAATCGACCAAAGCTTAGGTTGATTTAAATTAGGTTTCGAATTCATTTGGTTTTGATTAGTTTGATGATCAAATCCTCCACCAAACCATTGGATTCGATGGTTAATCGAATTATCCAATGATCCACCCAACTCAGTTTCTTCATCAATCAACTTCACAATCTCTACTAATCTTTCAATAAACACTTGCATCATCGGTTGACATTTCATCATGATACTTCCTACTCCATCTTCTATTCCTCCGCCTCCTCCTCCTCCTCCTCCTATTGTGGGTAATAAGATCCGATTTAGAATCTTGATTAATACTTTTAAAACTATTAATCTTGATCCTGATCTTAATTCGGATTTGGTTTCTTTGGATTGTAAACAAATTATATTAAAGAGTGACATTGAAATCAATTCTAATCTAGTTCTAGATTCTTCATCTGTACAAGCCAATAAGAGTTCTTCATCACTGATCGGTAAGAGTTTGGTTAAGGTTTCAAGTAGTTCAATTAAAATGGAATTCGATTTAGTTTGATGAATTGAAATCCTTAAATTCAATCGATTCGAATCCAAGGTGGCGATTCTTGAAATCAAACAAAGTGCTGAATCTACATGACTCGGTACCATTGAAAGTGATCGAATCCTAAGTTGACTAGCAAATGAAACTTCAGGTCCATGGGTAGGTACTTTAGCTTGACCATTCTGAAGTACTTCAATCGGACTCCTATCGATCTGTTGTGGTGCATCAATTAAGAAAAACAAACATAATTCCATAATCAAAGGTGCGATTGAAAGGGTGGATTGTTTTAATTGGATCCCAGATGCAATCTCAGATAAGATTTGTAAAACTTCTCGTCTGATTTGTAATCTTTCTAATGTACTAAGGTTTAACGTTTTTCGAATCGATCGATGTGATCTTGTTAAATTTAAATCACAAAGACTGATTAAGATCATCGCTGTTCTATCATTCCTACCCATAAAGATTGCACTATCTTCTGACATTGCAAAATATCTTAAAATGTTTAGGATACTTAAAATTAATTCCACTTGACCTAAATCTGGTCTGAGATCATGATTTGACAAATCTCCTGCCTCTCGTACTAATCCACTTCGACGTGTTAGACTACTAGAAGGTTGTGTTGACTCATCTATTGCTCGAACCATCATATTTTGAAAAGAGTCGAAAGGTGCATGACCCTTGGTTGTCTCCTGACTTGTAGTTCCTTCCTGAGAATCCTTATCACTAGGATGAGGGCGAGTGGATGGACCACCTTCTGTTGAATCTTCGTTTGGACACAAAGCCACTTCTTCCAAGATATCTAGTAGTTCTTCCAGTAGATCTTCGCACATACTCAATGGCAAGGGTAAGATCCCATGGTTCGAAGTATTGTCATCTCGATATAGCCGAATATGAGGACCGATCATCGTGAGCGTGTTAAGCGCATGGGCAACCTCACTCGCAAGTCGTGATTTGAGTGACATCACCAATGAGCGTATATCGATCAACCCTAGTGAGATGTATGATGGTCAGCTTCTTATTGGAAAAATCTTCTACGCGTTTGTTTATGAGAAATACAAGAAACACTCACCCAGATCATCAAGATTCCTTCTAGGTTTCGCTAAAAAGGATTTTTGAAAAACTTCATCTACCTCTCTCAGATCCCAACCGCCAGTATTATCCATAGGTTTCACAATAGGAGTATATCGGACCACCTTTTTCATTTTCGGATTTTGATTTGCATTTTGAGGTGGTCCATTGACATTGGCATCTGCTTGATGAGGGTTGCTTAAAGGCGTGCCTTTCAAAGGCGAACTGGAAGGCCGAGGTTGCGAATTTGACAATCGAGCGGTGGGTAATGCCGATGGGGTGGTAGCACGTGGACCAGGCGGTAGATGATATGGAGCGTTGTTGTAGGGCGTTGGACCTGACTGGTTGTGGGCATAGTGATTGTTTTCCAAACTTTGCTGAGTGTTGGGCGGTTGCAATTGTATGGGTTTTTGCGGCGGCAGCTGGATGATCGAACCACCAGAGGGAGATTGATGGGGAAACTGAGATGAAGGATCATTGTGTTTCTGATGTTCTCGTTCCATCGAGTTAGGCTTCGGTGGACCTTGGGAGCCGACAAGATTTTCAGGATTTCGATCGATTGGCGAGGGAAATGGTTGACTTTGAGGCTGAGGTATCTGAGATGGATTTGGCGGCTGTTGAGTAGGGTTCATAGAAGGAACCAATGGAACTTCGTTGTTCATATTGCCCTGATTCAAAGTCCCATTCTGGGTTCCCATGGGAGGTAAGGGGGTCGTTAAGAGGCCAGGCGAAGGCGAAGATTCGTGGTCTGAGAAAGATGAAGGTGGGTGTTACTTGATTGACACATTATGAGGACAATCAATGTAGCAGACACGCTTACCTTGTTTCAATCGTTTCTTTTTCTCAGCGGCGCTCACCGATTTAGCATTCTTGTTGGTTCCCTTCTTTGTATACGCGCGTTTCCCGGTTCCGGTAGTACTGTGAGGTAGGACAGGTGTTGCCGATAACTAAAGAGGTGAGAGAAGATTAAGACATTTGGAATAGCGGGTTTCATTGAGCCTACCGTGGACATATGTTATATAGACTGAATCACTCACACTCTCAGTTGGGCCACCAGCTACGCTACCTGGACTTCCAGCTCGACTTTCCGCTGGTGTGCCAGTGACTGTTCCTGCACCCGTGTTCAGACCGACGTACGATAACGTGGGTGTGGGTGGGATACTGTTATTTGGGATGGTCCCATGACCGCCGGGTGGGCTAGCTTGGTTCAGAGGCGTAGAAGCTGAGGCGTATGGTTGTGAGTGTGAGTTGGGAAAAGACTGCTGCATCTGGTTGTTGTTGATCATATTAGGATGATTGTGCATGGATGCAACCGGTGAGGTCATGTATGGATTAGGGTTGGTCCAATTGGGCTGGTTTTGTGGTGGCAATGTCGATCCCATCGCCGATGGTTGTTGTTGCTGTTGTTGATTGTTATGAGCTTGTAGGAGTTGTTGCTGATGAGCTTGTTGTTGTTGTTGTTGTTGCGCGTGCTTTCTCCTCATCATCTGCATAAGCTCAAATTGATACAAGTATTGGCCATAGAGATTCTGTAGGGCTTGAAGTTGTTCTTGACTGTAACCGGCGTTACTTTCGCCTCCCATCGATCCGGATAGCCTCCTATTATGTGGAATGAACTCCATGGCGGTAGCAATCTGTGACCACATACCAAGTCGGTTGACGTTTTGAGACCCACCAGCAGAATGTACAACGTTGAATAATTTGTATAGATCCACCACCTGGCCATCCAGCGTAGCGGGAAACGGGACTGGCATTCCACCTTTGATGAGGTATTCGGACAACTGATTCGAGAACCGTTGCGAGTTAGAGGGCGACGGTGGCTGGTTTGAATGTGCTGGAGTAGAGGATGTTGATTGAGAAGGAATCGGATGTGAGTTAAAGTTGCCAAGCGGGTTGGGAAGAGATGGATTCGAAGAGGTAGATGAATTCAGTTGATTTGGTGGGGCCGGCGCTTGAGGATGTTGAGGTGGATGAGGTGAAGTTTGATGCTGATGTGCGACAGGATGTGTGGTATTCATCATACCTATCAGATTAGCATTATTCATGTTTGAAGTTAGCGACGGCTGTGAGGGTAAGGGAGGTGGGCCAAGTGAACGTTGATTGGAATGACGTGGACTTGGAAAGTCTGAAGGAGGTTGTTGTGGAGAGAATAAAGCTCCATAATTGTTCATTGCTGCTCCATTCATGTTGCTTGTAAGCCCGGAAGTCGCTGAGCTCATTTGCATCATGGGACTATTTGAAGGCTGAGAGAATCGCTGATGAGATGGATTGAGCATTGATTGTTGAGGTTGTGAATTTGGAGTGATCGGTCGATACTGAAGACCAGCCGAATTCATCGCTCCTTGTCCTACTCCACCAGGATTGACAGAATTACCAACAGGAGCAAGCGAATCATTGAAGTGCTTTGGTTGCTCTGATGTCTTGAGGTGACGTTGATTCAAAAGGTATTCTTTGTAAAGTTTGAGCTCAGTCAATCCACAATTCCCATACAAGTAAGTCTGCTCGATAGCTGCCATGGTACTATCGGATAATCTTAAGCCAGTACGAGGGTCGATAGGCATTGTTCGAGGATCATAACGTCGAATCGGATGAGATGGATTAGATCGATCTGCGTCAGCATTCAAACTGATGGCAGTGATCACCTGACTGAGAGCTTGTTGCATAAGTTGTTGATGATTCATTTCGTCCATCGTACGTAGACCTTGAGCATTTTGATTGGAAGGACCTGGTTGAATTGAGTTCTGCCATGTGTTGGGTAAGGTTGCAGTACTATTATTCGTCGAAAGTCCTTGATTGTTGGTATGTAGCTGATGTTGAGAGTTAAGAGTGATGGATGGATTCGAAGGATTGTTGTAAAGATTGTATCCATTAGATATCTGAGGTGTGTACTGCAGTGATGAATTCGAGAGAGCGGGAGAGGCCGGCAAAGTTGCAGTTTGATTCGAATGTGGGTATGAATTAGGTCCCGCGTTCGGAATAGATTGTGGAAGAGCTGGAGGATGGTAAGAGTTGGGAAGTGTGGCTGAAGCAATATTACTATAACGTTGATGCTGCTGTTGTTGATGTAACTGCTGTTGTAGTTGTTGCTGTTGTTGTTGATTGTGCAGCTGTTGCTGTTGTTGCTGTTGCTGTTGTTGCAACTGGGATTGATGATTGTTGTAAATCCCGTTATTCATCATGCGCCAATTTGGTTCCGGATACAAGTGAGAAGGAGATTGCACTGAGATCGATAATAATTAGCTTTGAAGATTTGAAGGAACCGCTCGTAGAGAAATAGGATCACCAAACTCTTGAATGAGACTGATCAAGTGATAAGAGGCATCAAGAAACAAAATTCAACAATTAGTGATCTTGATCGATTTCTCAATTGAATGAATGAAATTTTAAATCATCATGGACTCAACAGTTACAATATAATGATGTATTGATGATATCCTCTTAAAACCCTTAACTTGACGAAGAGAGAAAGTCCTCAAGCTGAATCTGAATGATCCAACGCGGTTTAAAGTGATGAGCTGATTAAGAATGATTTGAAGATTAAAATCCAAAAGAATCGCGCTTTTGACGTTGATGAAGTTGTAAGTGGTAATACTTTGAAATATGATCGATAGTTTTTAAGTCATACGTTATAGTCGCGTGATGATGAATTCTTTCTTTCTTTCTTTGATAATTCTTCTTTCGATTGATTATGTATGATTTTCGATTATTTTAAATTATTTGAAGTTGTTTCGTTTGAAGATAAATGTTGATCGATTGATTGATTGATTAGTTTTTCATTGACTTTCTTCAAGTAGAGTAATGGTTTGTGGGTTGGTCCAATGAGGAGTTGATAGAGTCAGACTCTGAAGCACAACAGTAGACAGCAGTGAAAGCGATCATGGACTTAATCCTAAGACAACTTAACCCACAACTCAAATCGCTGGATTAAACTAGATTAAACCGTACTTTAACTGCATTTTAACTGCATTTTACATAGCTGCATTCAACTCAAAACTCAAATCTTTCTGTTCTCAAATTTGATGGTGAAATATCAATCGCATTCCTTGAGTTCATGAAACCCATTGCAAGTTTCATGAAAACTTGTTTAATCTCTTCTATCACAACATTCTGAAAAATGAAACATCAATGACTCCTATTCCTTAATTTATATTTCAGATAACCAGTTGATCACTCCTTTCTCCAATCTATCAATCATATCATCAAAAGATAAAAAGTTTATAAAAACATAATCAAATACAACAAAACCCTCCATGTCATCTATATTTCAAAAAGAAAAATCATCACCCTACTATTAACTAAACAAAACCAATCTTCCAAAAAAGAAATTCTATATATATATACCAGATCATTTCATAGCTTTAAATGATTCTTCTGTTGGTATACTTTCTTTTGTATGTTTAGCTTCATAATGTGTTACAAGTAATTTATAAGAAGGAGTTGGAGCTTTACAAATCTGACATGCAACCTACATATCCAAAAAAAAAACCATCAAAAAAAAATCAAAATCAGTAAATTGATTTTTTTTTCAAGAATTCGGTTTGGATGAATGGAAATTCACTTTGGTAACTGCTTGTTGTGCTCCTAATTGAGATCCTTTTTGTGATCCTTGTTTAGCTGCATTCCTTTGTCTGATCAAATTCATTTAAACATAAATTGGAAAAAAATTCATCAGTTTCTTGAAATTATCAAAAACTCCGGTTTATTGATCATGAAAAGATAGATGTTCTTTTGTAACTTTATTGTTTTTGATTTTTGATTTAATGAATGATACTTACTGTGCTTGTGCCTATAGATGTGAAAAAATTATCAACGAATCAGTAAGTGATAAACACATTTTTGGTGATACAAAGGGCATCAGATTTTCGAAAGTATTGATCTTACTAACTTTGGCATGACCTCTAACCATCTTGAGAAATTTCTTTCAAAGGCTCAAAATTCGAGTTGATAGAAAATCGTCTAATCCAAAAAGATAGTCCTTGATTTGTATTTCGGTTCGATGTAAGTTGAGTATAATTGATTCGTTAAAAGGGTTGATGGGTAGTTTAGGTATTCGCAAAAGAAGGCTTGATCACTAGAATTTCGTCCTGTTGGAGTTTTCTTATCACTTGTTTTGGTTCTTGAATGAATGAAACTTTCATGACAGATATCGGATATCAGGGTTTGATCAAGTCCGAAACGTTGCCCGATGTATGTGGTACATCTGAGACAACATCAAATTGGACACCCTTTATTTATCACAAATTCATACTCTGTGTTCTGAATATGATGATCAATAGATTATCAATACCTTCAAACCAAATTGTGTTTTGGTTATATTCAAGTAGGTTCAACAAACATCAAAAGCTCAATGAAGGAAAGTACTCTAGTGTTGCGTCAACAGTAATTGTTCTATGAGGAGTGGAAAGTGTCACTTCAATTGTGAATAGGATTCAGTCTTGCAGGTCACAGACAATTCAAGAAAAAAAGATGCAGTGTTGCATTGTGATCATTGATGGCATTTGTTCAGGGAGAAAAGATAAGTACATAGCCGAACGGATTAAGAGAGTGAGAGCTAGCAGAAAGAAATCAACGGCAAGACATATACATACATTGATATCACAAAGGAACTTATCACAAATCCTATTGAAACTCAGTGATCTGTGCATCTATTCTGTAGCTAAGACTGAGTTCCTGCATGTCCAAGATTCACTGGCAAAAAATTCAAGATAATTACGTTTTTTCTTCCTCAAGCACATTCTGGAGGTATTGAAGACAACAAGAGTCTATCTAGCTATCTATGTATGTAGACATTTTCATCAAAAAGCATTCTTCCCAAGAAGTGTTATTACATTTTCCACAAGTCTCTTCATCTTCAAAATAGATTTATAACAAGTTTTATTGTAAGAGAAGAGTTCAAACAAATCATCCCACTAAGATCCACAAAGGAAAATGATCATAAACAAACAAGTGCATTAACTTCAAACATAGATTCTTTCAAGATTTCAAGTGACGAGTTCTGATGATCTTCATTCAACAAATACCAACCTAATCCTTGTGCCAACTTTTGAGAATCGATTGGTAAACGAGAATAAGGTCCAAGAATAGATCTTTGATGTGTAGGATGTTTAATAGCAAAGAAAGGTGTAAGTAAAGGAGCTAAATCTGGTAAGACGGTTTGGAAAAATGATAATGATCTCGTAGTGATATGATGCAAGAATGATAAGATCGTCTACAAAAACCAAACGGATGGTCTAGTTAGCGATACAGTCAAACAGCGTTGGGCCTATCAGAGAGGTTACTTACTTTTGATGTCATAGGGTTCTTGTTGTCTAGCGCCCACAAGACTTTTGGTAAACTCAGAATCCATTTTCTAAGCTTCTCCTGAGTTTCCGATGAAGCAGACTCCAATCGGAATGGAGAGCTACATCCTGGAAGGTCATCGATCTACAAGTATACAATTCAATTTGTCAGCAGAACGAATTTGTCACCAATGAATCATATGTATGCTCAACATGAGAGAAAGATGAATCACAATGATAATCCTGCCTAGAAAACTTATTCCCAAGGCTTTGAGTTCAGAGCTTGGACGGAGGTGGTCTAGATGATCGATGAAAGCATTCATGATTTGATCAGACCAGTTATGAGATGCTGGTTGATCGATGTCAGATGTATGTTGTCGACGACCAAGCAGAGACCATATAGTAGGTAGCATCGCAACGTATGAATCGGGTGGTAATACTGGCATGCCGGGGTTCATTGTGATGGCATCACTCTAAGATCACGATTAGTCCAGCTGAGGGAACATAGCACAGGAATATAACATGAATTTGAAACAGAAGCGCACCTCAACAAGAAGTAACTGTGATATATAACTTGCGACTCTCTCGAGTTGAATGAGAAGCTTGGTGTCTGCTTTCTTCGAAGATAGCACAAGGAACGATACAAGTTCACAATAAACAAGATTGAGGTCCTGTAGAAGCTGTGTAGTCTAATCCAAGAAAAATCATCGTGCCAGGTAGGTATCTCGTCAGTAAGTACCTCGTCAGATCTAATAAAAGTCAGAGAACTTTACCTTGGTGTTCTTGCTATTGAGCTCATCAGCTCCAAAGATGAAATATGTTGACATTTTCTCCATGATATGTGCCAAGTTCTTGGAATCAGTCGGAATGATATTGGAGTTGGACGTCACACTCGCACGCCATAAGTCACACAAAATTCTTCCGACACACCAGACCAATCCAAGATGAGTACTAGGTTCTTTACTAGCCAATTGAACAGTTTCATTAGATGCCATTTCTGAATGAAAAGCTGTTGGTGCTGAGTCTAAAAAGATTGACAGCAAAACTGGATTCATCACCCTGAATAGTTTCAGAGGCGAGTCCGGAAAAGCGTCTTCGCCAGATTTTTTAATATCCTTTGTATTGTTGTCGACTTGGTAAGAAGGTACATCATGACGAGCTTGAGGGTTAGTGGTGATTCGATCCATAAAGACTTCTGCAAATGGTTCATAACAGTGCGTGTTCTGATCATCAATACATTCAAAACCGAATTGTGATTTCGGTGTCTGGGAGCTGACTGATTGATGTTGATCTGGAAGGATGTTTCTGAATTGTTCAAAGTCACGTGGGTTATTGAACGCAACCTGAAAGAACCACAGCGGAAGTGTCGTCTTTTCCGATTCTGAAGCTTCTAGACGAGTAGCAGCATGGATGAACCGACTCAAGGATTTCAACACCATTAATTTAGACTGAAATTCATAGAAAAATGGGTCAGATATATTGTACTGATGAGTTTGGCCGAGGAATGTGGTACAAAAAGTACACTGAAAAATTGATGTACCGTGTCAGTGAGTCGATTTGAAGAGGTAGATGCTACCCCAGAGGTAGCAGCATCTGGTCCGATCGAAAGCATAGAGAGATAAAGTTGAAGTAATCGTCTTCCATGCTGTCCTTGTGCTTTACCACTACTTGAGTTTGTAGGCGATGTTGTATCAGACCACCAGCCACCGATCACCGTATTAGGAGAGATTTCAAGAAGCAAATCGATAATTTGAACAGCATCCACTCTAATTTCGGCAAAGATGTGAGCAAGTGCTGAGCTCGCGAAGAAGACGATTGCCGAGCAAAAGGGTGTTACTAAGTCCTAATCACCCAGAGTCATGCAAAGTATCAGATTTCAGAGATTGACATTTCAATTATGAGATTAGATCAACATAAAATGCTGGACATGTTTGACTCACAGTGGGAATCTGTGGAAGAAACCAGGCGAAAAAGGCTATTAAAGCCTTGCGAACCGATGCATTCTCGTCCGGGATCAATCGAGCAGCTCCATGTATGATTGGACCTAGGTTAGACCGCCAAAGTTCATGATGAGCCCCAAGTAGCTCTCGAAGGCCGATCAGTGCATCTATAAAAAGAAGCAATTCCGTCAGACGAAGGCTTAAAAACGCATGTAAACAAATGTGATCAGGAACTGTAAGGTTGACCTTTGCGAGTAGCATGGCTGTAATGGCGTAGATGAACTAGCAAATCATCCAAGGTCAAATTACGCCTAGTCGTCGGAGCTTCACCCTTCTCAGCTCCAATGTTCTGGTTAGGTAGTGCAATGACTGTTCAAAGAAAAAAAAGGCATTGTCAATCAGTTTTACAGTCAATCGACTAACATAAAAAAATGCGTACCTTTGGTGGAATAAGAAGTGTTGGTAGCATTGCTAGCGATTTGTTTTCCTTTCCCGAGCTTGAGCTTTGCTTTGCTGAAGTCAGCTGTTGCTGCTTTTTTCTGCTTCTGGCTTTTTGGCATCCTGCGAAAGTTTTCGTTGTGTTTGGAAAAAGATCGATGGCTCAAAATAATTTTGGATGCACATGAAAATTACATACTCGGTACCGCTCGTAGAAGCCCGAGGCCATTTTTGTCCTCCAGGCTCCGACCCCGGTGAGCGTTGCAAAATGTGTCTCAACTTCTCAATGGGCCAATCCGAATTATTCTCAATTCTCATTAGAGTGAAAAATGCCATTTGGCCAGATCCTTGGATGCACTTCATAGAGTCATTCGGTTTAACAATCAAGTCTTGCCTAATTTTTGAGTGTTTGCTTAACTGGAAAAAAAGTGAAAACTGCATTAAGAGACACTTGTTTTTCGGCAAATGCTTTGCAGCTGAGCAAGGCTATTTTTTTTTGATTCCAAGTGCTGGTTACAAAGTACACAGTGACAAAGTCTGTCGTGCTCTGTCGTGATTCAATCTGATGATTTTTTCTCCTTTGGAGATATTGTGATTGTTGCTGATTTTCTTTGGCTCACTGATCACAATTATGCAGAATGTCAAAGATTCAAGGGGTATTTTGGCATCAAAAGCTTTCAGTGAGAAATTTGATATGGTTAGAAATTAAAGTATCAATGAAGTGAATATGATTAATATACTGGTTCAAGTTTTTTTATTCAACTCAAACTCTCTGTTTTCATGTGCAAACCGTGTTGCACTATTTTTGATTCTTATGTACTCATCATTGAAATAGTCTTGATGGTATTTGAGCAATTCTTTCCTCAAGAATAATGTACCAGTCTACAAAAGAATTGAATTAATCCCTGGGGATCAATTCATACCAACTTTTCTAGTATTCTCATCTGATTGGAGTACTATTTGCGCTGGCCTCAGTCAGAGTGGCTGAGTGGTCTCGAGGGTAGGATCCGGATGAGTGAAAGTACCTCTCTGTGAAGTGGAGCAAATGAGAACACACCACCAGATTGAAGGTATTGAATGGATGTAGGATGTCCATATAGTGCTGGTCATGATTTGAGTGGTGTTTCGATGTGATTTGAAACTTGAAAAGGATTGAGTTTGGATGTACAGAACAAAACTGATTAAAACTTGTGGTACAGTTGGATAGGTGTTAGGTTTAAGTGTGACTCAGAACTCAAATAATTGACAACGTGCCTCTGGAGTCTGAGTCAAGGAGAAATCGAAAAAAAAAAGAAAACACACACACCACTTTCACTTTCAACAAGACTTCAACCACTTTTACTAAAACCACATCAAACAAAAACACACTCAACATATCATTTGACTGATTCCGAACAGTCTAAAGAAAATGTCAACCAACGGGCGAAATCCCAATGATTTTTCAGATGAAGAAGAAATAGATGAATCAGAGCTAGACTTAAATTATGGAGATATAGAAGAAAAGTTTAGACCAAAGTTTCAAGATACATTTGATAATTTGATTGTAGTACATGGAGCACCGATCGTAGATCAAAGTAAACGTGATCGTTTGATTAAAGCAATCGTAGCTACTTTTGCTAAGAAAAAAATTCATATTTCGGATACTAAGATTGAAATGCCACAAGATGAAGATGGTTTGAGTAAAGGGTTCGTTATCTTTCTTCTTTTTTTTTTCTTTTCAAATTGATATATGATATTCACTTTTGATACTAATCTATTTTATTTTTATTTTTTGTATAGATATTTGTTTATTGAACTTGATCATCCAGAAGATGCTGATCGAGCAGTTCGTAATTTACACGATTATCCATTCGATAAGAAACATCGATTTACCGTTATTCGTTTTACTGAAGTCGAACGTTACTCTCATGTACCTGATGTCTTTGTTCCACCTGTACTCGAAGAATATAAACCACGTGGTCACCTTAAGAGTTGGCTTGCTGATCCACAAACTCGTGATCAAATGATTTTATATCAAGGTGAAGATGTTAAAGTTGCATGGCATGGTAGGAATGGTGTACCCGAAGTGGCTCATAAACGAACGGTTCGTAGAATTCCATTTCTGATGCATTACAGAGTTTCTGATTTGAAGACTTTTTGCGGGCATAGAAATGGACTGAAGCTTACACCGCCTGGTCTCATGAGGGTACTATCCTTGCTACTGTTCATACTCAAGGAGTAGCACTTTGGGGTGGACATAATTTCGATCGAATCCATCGACTATACCATCCAAAGGTCAAACTGATCGACTTTTCTCCGATGGAAAATTATCTCGTGACTTGGTCCGATCAACCCATCGAACTTTCTAACGATCCTCAAGTTCCACAAGTTTTTACAGAAGATGATCAAGGTCATAGTATTGCTGTTTGGGAAGTCATGACTGGAAAGTTACTTCGTACATTTCCTGTCTTGAACGACCAACCTACCGAAGATGGAGCCCGTATCAAGTTCCAGTGGCCTATGTTCAAATGGAGCGGAGATGATCGTTATTTGGCGCGTATCACACCAGGACAAGCCATCAGTGTCTACGAGACTCCAGGTATGGGATTATTGGAGAAGAAGAGTATCAAGATTGAAGGTGTGGTCGACTTTGAATGGTGTCCTTTGGGTGAAAAGGAGCGTGAAGCTGTACTAGAAGCGCAAAAGCTAGTAGAACAATCGGCTGGACAGAAGAATGGAGCTTCTGAAGTAGCTCCTAAGAAGAAGGGTACTGAACAGCCCAGCATGATGGCCTACTGGACCCCTGAAGTAGCTAACCAGCCCGCTCGAGTCTCTCTTATGGCGCTACCGAGTCGTGATACCTTGCGATCGAAAAACTTATTCAACGTTCACGATGTACGTGATCATCTCATCTCTTCCTGTCTCGCTTTTAACTGATGTTGTTCATATGTATCTCTACAGGCTAAGATCCACTGGCAATCCAATGGCGACTATCTATGTGTCAAGGTTGACCGACACACGAAGACCAAGAAGACCACATATTGTAATCTTGAACTCTTTCGAGTACGCGACAAATCATTCCCTGTTGATGTCATTGAGATCAAAGGTAAGCCACATCAGTTTCGTCCTCATAATCTGTTGACCATGTTGACTTGGAAATTCTCTTCCAGATACCGTTACTGCATTTGCATGGGAGCCGAAAGGAAATCGATTTGTGTTGATTACAACTAGTGACCCTAGTGTCTCACAAGGTCCTATCCCCGGTCAAGCTATCAAAACTAGCGTCCATTTCTATGGCATAGATTCTAAAAAAGGAGAATTCCGTCTGTTGAGTAAGTGTTTGAGATCATCCTGAGTCGTATTGAACAACTACTCATGATTCACTTTTATACTATCTAGAATCATTCGATGGAAAGTCATGCAATTCGGTTTATTGGTCCCCTAAAGGAAGACATGTGATTACTGCTACAATGGAATCCACTTCGAAATTCGATCTCGAATTTTGGGATACTGATTTAGATGAAAGTGAAAAAGAACCTGGATCGGGGATTCAATTATTGGCATCGGTTGAACATTATGGAATGACTGAAATTCAATGGGATCCAAGTGGTCGATACGTTGCCACATTGGGAAGTATTTGGGTCAATTCAGTAAGTCATCTTGTTTATTTTCTTTCGGTCTTTCTTCAATCATAAGGTCCTGAATTGACTGTTTGATCAATAGATGGAAGCTGGTTATGCTATTTGGGATTTCAAAGGTGAACAATTACATAAAGCTCAATTAGAAAGGTTTAAACAATTATTATGGAGACCAAGACCTAGAACATTATTAAGTAAAGAAGCTCAACGTAAGATTCGAAAGAATTTCCGAGAATATAGTAAAGTCTTTGAAGAAGAAGATCAACTTGAAGCTAGTAATGTAAGTGCTGAATTGATTGCACATAGACGTAGATTGTTAGATGAATGGGATGCTTGGAGATTATCATCTAAACGTCAATTATTATTGGATCAAGAAGAGATGGGTAAACTTCCGATGGATAAACCGGTTGATCGAAAAGATGATGTGGAACAGATACAAGAATGGATCGAAGAAGTTATTGAAGAAACTGAAACTGTGATTGGTTAGATTAATTATGTCTTTGGATCATCTTTATTCTTGCCTTATCCAACAAAAAAAAAGCTTGTATTGTGACCCTCAAAGGTAGACTAGAGAAAATGGAAAAAACGTTATAATTGTCATCTTTGTGCTTGCTCATTGAGCCCTCTCAACGTGATCACGACTATCAAAAGTTGGTTTGTATGACTCCCTGATCCCCATATATATATTTGACTTGACTTACATAGAATTTTGATACATACTCTTGTTGACAAATACGTTGAGTTGAGATCAATGCATGAATCTATCCCAGGATGGGCGCTCTGAGGGTTGTTCAGCCCTCATTGTCTCAAACAGAGGCTATTATAAATTTGTTCCGTAATCATGCCTTACAAAAGCAGATCCTGATGGCAGATGAGGTGGGCCTCATGAAGAGTCAACATGTACCCTTCGGACGCTCAAGTCTCATACTGCGAAGTTTCTTTCGGCCCTGGGACTGCGGAACTTAACTATGCAATATGAAGAGCACTGCACAAGGGTCACTTCACGGCGCTTTTCTCATTCATACTTTCTGGGATGGACATCCGACCCTGTTACTAATGAATATGCATCCTACAGTTAAGAAATCACATCGCACTGACTAGATGGCCTGTTTTCTTATGATTCCAAAATGCACTTTAAAAAAAAAAATTGAAGCAAGTGGGATTCTCCGTCCCGCTGTCTTAAATTTTAATTGAGAAAGATGTGCGCCGGGGTTCGTGATGTCGGCTGAAAAGGCTCAAGGTGGTTCATAGCATAAACGATAGGATAGCTTGCATACAGTTTTACATGGCAGTTTACAATAAAGACAGTGTTGTACTGTGAGCAAGAATGGAATTTACATCAAGTTACATAGAGCCATTTTACATCATGTGACCTCCGCGCAATCGCAATACCAAGTGAAGAGTAGACTCCTTTTGAATGTTGTAATCAGCAAGTGTTCGGCCATCTTCCAATTGTTTGCCTGCAAAGATTAGTCGCTGTTGGTCTGGTGGGATGCCTTCCTTATCTTGGATCTTGGCTTTGACGTTGTCAATCGTGTCCGAAGATTCGACTTCAAGGGTGATGGTTTTACCAGTCAGACTGAAACGTGCAGATGTCAGCAATGGAACAGTCGGTTAGGGCATAGAGAACTTAACGCACGTTTTCACAAAGATTTGCATTCCACCACGTAAACGGAGTACAAGGTGGAGGGTAGATTCCTTCTGGATGTTGTAATCTGCCAGTGTGCGACCATCCTCCAGCTGCTTTCCAGCAAAGATCAATCGTTGTTGGTCGGGAGGAATACCTTCCTTATCCTGGATCTTAGCCTTCACGTTGTCAATAGTGTCTGAGGATTCGACTTCCAGTGTGATCGTTTTACCAGTCAGTCTGGAAAAAATGCAGTGTAAGCATCTAACAATGACTTCAAGATGACGTTGAAATGACGTACGTCTTCACAAAAATTTGCATACCACCACGAAGACGCAACACCAAATGAAGGGTGGACTCTTTCTGGATGTTGTAGTCAGCCAACGTACGCCCATCCTCCAACTGTTTCCCAGCAAAAATGAGACGCTGTTGGTCAGGTGGGATACCTTCCTTGTCTTGAATTTTTGTCTTGACATTGTCGATAGTGTCAGACGATTCAACTTCCAAGGTGATGGTCTTTCCAGTGAGACTAAAGAAATATAAAGATGAGTCAGAGTTTAAGAGTTTTCGAGAGTATGCAAGACGTACGTCTTGACGAAGATTTGCATTCCACCCCGCAACCTAAGCACCAAATGAAGAGTTGATTCTTTCTGAATGTTGTAATCGGCGAGTGTGCGGCCATCTTCTAGTTGTTTACCAGCAAAGATAAGGCGTTGCTGATCTGGGGGAATGCCTTCCTTGTCCTGAATTTTGGCCTTGACGTTGTCGATTGTGTCAGAAGATTCAACCTCCAAAGTGATCGTTTTGCCGGTAAGACTGCCAAAGGATCGAGTAAGTAAAGGAAGCTTATCTAAGTATGCGGACCAGATGGGAAAGCTCACGTCTTTACAAAGATCTGCATACCACCACGGAGACGCAAAACTAAATGAAGGGTCGACTCTTTCTGGATATTGTAGTCAGCAAGAGTGCGGCCATCCTCAAGTTGCTTGCCGGCAAAGATAAGACGTTGTTGATCAGGGGGGATACCCTCTTTGTCCTGGATCTTGGCCTTGACATTGTCAATCGTGTCGGAGGATTCGACTTCAAGGGTAATGGTCTTTCCAGTCAAACTACATTAAGAGATCGTGTCAGTACACAATCAACAGATCGCCGGTAACTTGGACTAGAGACATACGTCTTGACGAAGATCTGCATACCACCACGAAGACGAAGTACCAAATGAAGAGTAGATTCCTTTTGGATGTTGTAATCGGCAAGAGTACGTCCATCTTCAAGTTGTTTTCCGGCGAAGATAAGACGTTGTTGATCCGGTGGAATACCTTCCTTGTCTTGGATCTTGGCCTTGACATTGTCAATAGTATCGGAAGATTCGACCTCGAGAGTGATAGTCTTACCAGTAAGACTACAATGGAAAATAAGTAAAAGGTTCTACAAGTACGAGTAAGAGTAGAACGCTTACGTCTTCACGAAGATCTGCATACCACCACGTAATCGCAGGACCAAGTGGAGAGTTGATTCCTTCTGGATATTGTAGTCGGCAAGGGTGCGGCCATCTTCAAGTTGCTTACCAGCGACTAAGGAGAGACATGGAGTGTGAGACAAGTTGAAGTGAAAAGGCGTAGTGTTAACGACTTACAAATCAAACGTTGTTGATCTGGTGGAATACCTTCCTTGTCCTGAATCTTGGCTTTGACGTTGTCGATGGTGTCGGAAGATTCAACCTCGAGAGTGATGGTTTTACCGGTGAGGCTAGATAATACAGACAAACGCACATGGAGAACATCAGAAAACGGTAATTAAGACGAGTCAAGGAAAGTACGCACGTTTTGACAAAGATCTGCATGATGGTAGAATGCTAAAGGTGAGGTGTACAGATAAGTGAGTAAAAAGGGAATTCGGTTGATTTCGAGAGAGAAGGATGAATGGATGGATGAGATGAGGTAGTTTGGGAGGAAGTTGGACTGATGAAGGGGAGATCGATGGATTGCGTGATTGAGTGACGTATTATATACCCTTGCTTTTCCGGCCGAGCCGGTCTTGCACATACAGTTCGTGGCGGGTATGAACTTTGAAGAACACAGCTTTTGTCTCGGTATTAGCATGCTGCGAGGACTTCTATAAACATATGCTAGCCAATTGGTGTGAACAAAACTCAAAAAGGCTCCATTTTGTTCCATGGGTTTCCATGACATCAACTCTTCAGCTGATCGAACGTCTACAAAGACGGGTAACATCGATTACCGACATCTTGACATAGTCAGGGAACGCAGAACCGGATGAGACTTGATTACCAAATCATCCGCTTGTCTTCCTCCAAGTTGAGATTGACGATGAATCAAAAAAGACTCCGGGTACAGTGGGTCTCATCAAAGCCCAACTACCCCCCCGTAGGGGGGGTTCGAAATTTTGGCCTCTGAGGACCTCGAAAATCAGTGAAAAAAGTCATTTTCACCGTGCGATTTGACTGATCTGGGGTTGGATTCCGCTTCGGGAACCCACTTTTACCAAGTTTAAAGCCATATATTACCCTCTGGTACCCATATAGTAAGCCTAAGGATGTGTTTAAATGTGCTTGGTTCGAAATATTGCCCAAATGTCTAAAAAAAAAATTTTTTTGCCTTGCACGCATCCATCCTCATAGGATTAGAATGAGATAGGTCCTCCGAGCCCATTAAGCTTATTAAAATGTGTGCTATGTAATTATGAGGTGTGTATAATTCATCTCGAACTTGAAATTTTGCTTTGCGGGCGCGGGGTAGTTGGGCTTTGATGAGACCCACTGTACAATTACAAGGGATCACGCAGTGAATTTGAAACGTCGGGGTCCTATCGCCTCCTTCAACTTAGCACGGGCCACAGTCACTTATCGTCCATAATGAAGTTTGTTTATCTCCATGTAGATGGGCTGCTTGCCCATGGATCTCATGCGAGGTTCTACCCAAGCGCTGATCAAGAAGTTCTGACTTGTGGTCATCAATTGCACAAGAATGACGTCATACCATGTGTGCCCGCCTTAGGCTCTGGGGAAGGGAAGCAAGAGTCTCTCAACGGTGTTTCAGCTGATGGATGAGGTTGCGGCAAGAAACAGATGGTGCGCTAGCTGTCCCTCCATAACCCTCACACTGTCCCACGTACGCCTGCGCTCTCACAGGCTGTGTATCTGACCAGGTGGCCATGAAAAAGGTGATCATTAAGTGATCAGCGGACTCAAGTACAATTCAAAGTGCTACCGCAATTTGAGCAAATTTTTTGTTAAACAAATAGCCAAAATTTGTGCTTCAACTTTTGAGGTGTTTTACTGGTCAGCGTTCACCTCAACATAACTCGAGTTCCACGGCAGCTGTCACATCCACATCACTTCTTGCGTTCTACTGATCGCAGGCGGAAGAAGTAAACTGACAAAAATGCATTCATGAGTTCTTGATATTGGTGATTATAGCAAACATAGTGAGTCAACTTGGACTCGCAATAGTATGCTGGTTCCAAGTCGATTTGGGTCTGACTCCAGGTTCATCTCCGGATGGTTCACTCAATGAGGATGTGTCAAAAGCACTTCTTGCTATCATCACATGAGTTTTGCAAATATGTACAAAGAATAACTTCTCATTTTAATGTCGATTATAACTTGTAAATACAACCAGACAAGAGACAATATTTCAAGGCTTCACTCAAGACTTTGAGCAATGAACTCATCATTTATAGAAGATTTTGACAAAACTGAGAGCTTACACAAGAAATCAAACCAGAAAAAGAAGACGTGTTTTTGGGCATCAGAGGCTTTCAGAATTCACCCTAAATCCAATTCTTGATAAATCAGTAGTACGGATTAGAGAAAACTGCACATCCAATAAATTAAAGAGACACAAACAGAAAGAGACAGATTGTAACTTTTTGCGCCCTTTGGACTGGATGGCCACAATTTCACCTGGTGAGTTTCAATATTCTAGCTTTCTTTTACCTTGATGGTATCCGCATCATTGATCGTAACATATTTAATCTCTTCAGCTTCCTTTAATGAGGTCCTATCCTGTGATCCATTCTGTCCGAGATCCATTGTGGTTATAGAGTTGGTGAATTATCTCGTAAAGCTGAAGTGTTACTGATCTGTTTACTACCTTATTGACCATATTTAAAATCTAATGCAGAGAGGTTTTGATCATGTGCAGGAGAAATTGCACGAATGTAAAGATCGGTCATATCAGGTAGATGGTGCATCTTGTTTACTTTGCCTGTCCGGAAAAAGGAGTTATGATTTGACCACTCCTCCGGCGTATTACTATCATGGGGGACGGTGGTTATACAATTCCAGAGTACTGGGATCTATTCAACATGCGGTTTGATTATTAAACCCTAGAAGGCGTACAACAAAATGAGAACATCTTGTGATGTAGTTATCAGTTCGATATTGACCACCCTCACATATGACTTGTATGAGAGATTGACTGATAGAGCGTCCTACCGTCACCTCCCTCAATCTCGCTGAATTCAAGTAAAAAAGCACTTTGTTCCAATTCACATTTTTTGCATTTATAAACATTTTTTTGTCCCGTCTATGTAGACTTCTTATCACTCGAGAACTTTGATTAATCATTTTTGGACTATGATTTCAAGCGACATCAAAGTCTAAAGAATGAGTAGGTCCACTGATTCAGATATAAAGATATACTATCTTTGACTGCTCATCTGCTCTTAAGAGGTCAACACCATTTTCTCATCAACTTGATCAATAAAATAAAACGCTATACATTTTCATTAACTTGAGAATCCAATCTAAGGATGTACAAACTTGCGTAAATAATTTTTTCGAAAACAGAGATTTACAACATTTTCATCTTAGTTAACAGAAACACAAAAACACTTCAAAACAAAATCAATATTCAATATAACAATTTCACAATAACATACTGATTTTATTCATCATTTTTTATATCGTCACATCTTTCAATAAAGATTTACTCGTTAAAATCACACAAGACAAAGTATGGAAACAATCAACGCAAAACACACACACACTGAGAGTTTAATTGACTTCTTCAATCTTGATATCATCATCCTCCAATCCATCAATCTCTTCATCGATATCCATTGAAGTCGCTTCGTGGTTAGGTCTGATTAAGATTCGATTAGCTCTCCAATCAGCTGTCACCGCAGCTACTTCTCCATCCCTAATTCTTTCTTCTAAGATCATACGGGATAAGGGATGCAACAATTCATTCTGAATGGTTCGATTCAATGGTCTTGCGCCGTACTGAGGATTGAATCCAGCTTGACCTAACCAATCTCTCGCCTTATCGTCGACTTCCAATGTGATGTTCTTTCCGTTGATATATAATCGTTTTTGAATTTCAGCCAATCGGACATTCACAATTGATCGGATTTGTGCTGATCCTAGCTTGTTGAAAATCTGTTCAAATGAAAAAATCATGATTCTCTCAGCAACCTTTCCCCTGACAGTGATGATCGCCACGCTTGATGAAAAAGGCTAAGAAACTTACGATAGTCGCATCAATCCGATTGATGAACTCGGGAGCAAAGTGAGCACGAATGGCACTATGGACTAACATCTTCGCAGATTCAGGTACCGGTTCATCTTCAGGCGTCTCATTGAGGTAAACAGCTCCCAAATTACTCGTCATCACAATCACACAATTTCTGAAGCTAACCACTCGTCCTTGACTGTCGGTCAATCGACCATCATCCAAAACTTGTAAGAATAATTGAGTAAACTCTCTTGAGGCTTTCTCGATTTCATCAATCAACACGATGCTGTATGGTTTCCTTCGCACCCATTCCGTCAAGGTCCCTCCTTCTTCGTGACCCACGTAACCGGGTGGAGAGCCAATCAAGCGACTGACACTGTGCTTCTCACTGAGATAACAAATCGCAAGAAAAGAAATGGTGTGCGGTTGGTCAGTATGTTGTTCAACTGCAACATTTAACAATCAATGTGCTACTCACGAGTATTCACTCCCATCGATCCGGCAGATTGCATCTTCACTATCGAACAAGAACTTGGCCAAAGCCTTTGTAAGTAAAGTCTTTCCCGTTCCCGAAGGCCCACCTAGTACGAAGAATAACATAAGCTCAATCTTCTGAACCGCTGTCCATACTAAAAAGATGGAAGCAAAAACTTACAGAACAAAAAGGATGCAATCGGTCTTGACTCATTAGACAAACCGCTCCTACTCAATCGAATCGCATCCGCTACGGCCTTCACAGCTTCAGGTTGACCGACAACTTGTTTCATCAGACCTTGTTCCATCATTCTCAACTTCATCTTCTCAGTAGCTTTGAGTCGAGAGACAGGAACACCAGTCCAGCGCGCGACGATTTCTGCGATTCCATCAGAAGTCACAATGTCATCTTCGAGTTCCGAAGGTCCTCGTTTGGCATCCTCTGCACGCTTGTGAGCTTCGAGTTGACCGAGTTGTTCTTCAAGATCAGGTATGGCATAATGTCGAAGATCAGCAGCCCTGTGAATCAAAAGTAGCTCAAAGTCAGTCATGTGGCCTCCTAAAATATAGAAACAGATATAGAAACAGATACCAATTAAGACTGCAAAAACTCACGTTGAGACATCGTAACGTCTTTCGGCATCTTCTGCTTTGGCTTTCAAAGTTTCAATCTTTTCTCGCACTGCACGAATTTTATCACCTCTGGACTTGGCAGCTTCCCATGCGGCCTTCAATGGCTGTAATTCGTCATTCAGACCTGCAATCTCTTGTTTCAGTGTCTCGAGTCTCGCTTTGGAATCTTGATCCTATTAAATCAGAAGCAGCGAATTTTTAGCTACTGTCCACGCGCACGTCTCAAGAAACAGAGAAAATGAATGTATGGTGAGTATACTAACCTTTTCCTTTCCGAGCGCATGGGCTTCGACTTCCAATTGCAGTTTCTTACGCTCTAATCTATCAACAGCTTCAGGTTGACTATCACGCGTAACTCTTACTGACGCGGCGGCTTCATCAACCAGATCAATGGCGCTATCAGGAAGTCTACGTGTGGTGAGATAACGATGGGCAAGAGTGGCGGCTGTGACCAAAGCGCCGTCCAAGATGCTTGAGTAGAAATTCAAGAGCGAATGTCAGCAAGCTCTGCTGTGAGTACGCAGATAAAAAGAGAGAAGGAAACATATGATGATTGTACTCACGAGACACCATGGTGAGTTTCATACTTCTCTTTCAAGCCTCTCAAAATCGAAACTGTCTCGACCACTGAAGGCTCATTGACAAGTACTTGCTGAAATCTACGTTCAAATGCAGCATCCTAAAAGCCGGATAAAGCCATATGATCAGTTGATTATATTCAACAGAAAGGGAATGCAAAAAGACGACATACCTTTTCAATGTATTTACGATACTCGGCCAAAGTTGTAGCACCGATACAGCGTAGCTTGCCACGAGCTAACACGGGTTTTACTGATGATAAGAGTATCAAGATTTGTTCAAGTCAGATGCTATGATATGGACGTCTACATTAAAATCACTTACTTAAATTGGCCGCATCCATACCACCACCTTGACCCTGGCCGGCCATGATCTGTGATAGAATTGCATAAACCGTCTCAGTGACATTGCTTACGAAGCCAGATTGAGAAAAGACTTACGAGATGCATTTCGTCAATGAAAAGGATGATGTTTTCACCCTTCTCAGTAGCTTGTTCCACTTCGTTCAAGATTGATTTGATTCTTTCTTCAAATTGACCCTTGTAACTTGCACCAGCTTGTACTGCTCCCAAGTCGAGTGAGAATAGTCGACCAATCAGGGAGGCTGGTACATCCCTGTTGACCATCCGTTGAGCAAGACCTTCGGCGATAGCTGTCTTTCCCACTCCAGGTTCACCAATCAACACTGGATTGTTCTTAGTTCGACGGCAAAGTATTCTGGACAAAAAATGGTAATGTTAGGGCCGAGAAGAACTTAAACTAGTCGGGGGAATCACTTACCGAATACACCTTCGGACTTCATTATCCCTTCCAATCACCGGGTCTAATAGATTTTCTCGAGCTTTTTCAGTCAAATCAACCGCATATTTTCTCAATGCATCAAAACCTAAAAGCAAAGTGTATCGATGGTAAGTATGACGCTCAACCTCATGACCTAATATAAGGAAGATGAGTGATTTTTACCTTCTTCAGCATTTTTACTATCGACTTTCTTGCCGGCTCGAACTGCGTTGACAGCTTTACGAAGCGAAGGTTCTGAGACATTTGCATCTTTGAAGATTTGTTTAATAACCGAATCATCGAGAAGAGCCAAGATGAGATGATCTTGAGCAATGTATGCGTCATTCTACATCAATTCCAAAGCAAACATGTTAGTTTTATAACCTCCAAGAATACGAACATCAAAAAACACTAACTTGTTGACGCATTAATTTTTGAGCTTCTTTCAAGACTTTTGAAGCTGAACTTGAGAATCCCACATTATCAGGTGGTGGATCTTGACTTGGTTCACGTACTAATCTTTTGTTGAGAGCTCTTGTAAGTTCTTTAGGATCTGCACCGGCCTTATCTAATATGTTTGAGAATAAACAATCCGAACTGGCTGATCCAACGTGACCGTTTGAACCTGAAACTGAAGGATCGAGTAAAGCTAAAGCAATATGAATTGGTTGAACATTAACATGCGATCGCTCAGTAGCTAGAGCGATAGCAGATGCAAGTGCTTCTTGAGTCTTATCGGTGAAAGCAAAACCGGAAGCCATCTGAAAGTTGATGTATTGTTTCGAGGTGTAAGAGTTGGTTTGATTTGGTCGAGGTTATGATATGATGATGTGGTTTTTGAGGATATTTTCGATATTGCTTTTTGTTGATCGATCAAAAAGGTCAAGAGATGAGGTCAAGAAGAAAGTTGTATTTATATGCGTCTTTGATCAGAATCAGAATCACTCCAGATGAAACTCATTCATTCTGGAACCTTCTACAACAACCTTTTCGTAAACTTCACTATTTGCTCGATGCTTTGGGGCTGTTGCGAGCGACAGCGTGGGACATGGTTAAGTTTCAATGCTTTATTTGCAACTTTCTAGAACTTACTCGATACGATCACTTTGTATCACTCACTTCTTCATCACATTCCACGACGCGAAATATTTACCTTTCATGATTCCCAGCATTTTATCTTTACAAGTGCCCAGGCGTCTTCAGCAGTCTTGTGTGTGTGTACCTGACCATGCATGGCTTTCTTGCAGGTTTCGTAAAACTGAAGTAGCTTTCAGACAAGGAGTACCTGCTAGCATATCTTAGGGAGTATGAGGATTGGGAACTTGAGGAGGCTTGAGGACCGTTGTAAAACCGCACGAGCTTCCCCGCTTGTTTGCCTTTGAGAAATTCTTCTTGTCACTCTCATTTGGCCAAAAACTTTTTTGTCGGTCACTCTCCGGCTGACAGCTCCTCCGGGAACCGGCAATGATCACATCGACAATGAGCCCGGTCCACTGCGAACGTTCAGCTACGTCATCGACTCTCACCAGCCTCACCGTTGGTTGGATGACTAAAAGCGCTGTTGACCATCCGATCAATGGTAAACAGCTTTGAAGTGATCACTCTGGACTCATTTCTCTTCTTTCTGTCTCCCATCCAGCCCAACATCCTCTTGTCAAACAAAAACAAAAACTTGTGCTGACGAAATTGCCATCATGGATCAAGGTGCCCTTGTTCGGCAAAGGCATCGTCGTCGCCAAGTCATCATATTTCATCAATTAAAATTACATCTTCTTGGTAGATTCTTTCATTATCATTTCATCAACAAAATGAGAACCAAGACACCTAGAAGTCCTTCTATAGTTTCAGGTCAGATGTGGGTAGATCAGTTACTTAACGGACCTGATACTGTCTTTTACAAAAATATGGGGATGAAGAAATTTGTATTTGTGGAACTAAGAGGAACACTTCAGATTCATAAAGCTCTTGCTGATACTAGATGGGTCTCAAGTACAGAGCAACTTGCTCTTTTACTTCACTTTCTCGTTACTGGTTTTTCTAATTCTAAACTCAAACATCGATTTCAAAGGTCTCCTTCTACTGTCTCAAAGTAAGCTTATCCTCAAAACTTGTTCTTTCGCTCGTTTTTCCAAAATGTTAAATTTTATCTTGATAGTATCATCAACCACTTGACAACTGAAATTATCAACAATACGCCATTCATCAAGTCCCAAATCTCTCTTCCTCAACAAGAGCTTTCGCCAATCATATCTAAAAATGCTGATTGGTATCCTTATTTTAAAAACTGCGTTGGTGCAATTGGTTGCACTCATATTCCTGTTACTGTCCCACCTCAAGAAACTTTACCATTCTTGAATCATCAGGGTGACACATCTCAAAAAGTATTCATAGCTTGTGACTTTGATCTCTCATTCACCTTTGTTTTAGCAGGATGTGAAGGAAGTGTGGAAGATAATGAGCTTTGGGATTATGCAGAACAAAATGAATTTATAGTTCCTGATGGTAAATATGTTCTTGGTGATACTGGATTTGATTTGGATATAAATCTTCACACTCCTTTCAAAGGAATCAGATATAATCTTAGAGAATTTTCGGGTGATCATGCTGAGTATGAAGCCTTTTCTCTTACCATTCTTTGTCCTTTCTATATTAATCACTGACATGGGTTTTGCTTTACAGACCACGGAATCATCAAGAGATTTACAACAAAAGACATGCTGCTTTGAGGGATCATGTTGAAATGATCAATAGAGCGGTCAAAAAAAGGTTCAAAGTCATGGAAAAAGGTTCGAAATGTTCGATTGAGATTCAAGTGAAATTGATCATATTAATGGTTTACCTACACAACTTTATCAGAAGAAAAGATCAAGATGATGAACATCTCAAGGATAACGTTGATGAGAATGATCAACTTGAAGTACAACAGGCTGAAGTAGATGAAGTTGAAAAGATGTATGAGGAAATTACTGAAGCAGGCGAATCGAGGAGGAAGATAGCTAAAGCTATGTGGACTTCATATTGTTTGCAAAGAAATCAAGATTGATTGTATCTGTTCATTATCTAACCTCCAATTTTTCGAATTTTCTATCTGGCTTTCATTCTTATATCTTATTTGATCAATCTACAAAGAATGATCATACTAATGATATCCTTGAATTGCTTGAACCAAATACACACGGGTTACAAAAAGGGAAACCATCAGAAATGTAATGAAAAGTCACATGTTTGTGATTCGTTGATTTCAGAAAAACTTTTTGGCTACTATTCTTTGGAGACTTGAACATTTACACACAAATGATATGTACGTTTTTTGAATCGAACTCGGTTTTAACATCGAAACACAAAGGTTGAGTTTTCGGATATTTTTGAGATTACACTTTGAATTTACATCAACATACCGCTCGGAGTTTCTCAACGTGATTTCAAAACACCAGTTCCAACCAACTTGCAATCGAAATCGACTTTTCACAATCGAAAACGGAGCCATCATGAAAGAAGATACGAATCAAGAAACCATTGAATTCGAAACCTTAATCAATCAATCCACTTTAATCAAACAAGGAGCAGAAGCAGTTTAGTCAATCTTATCACAACCTTCTTTCCTACAAACCACTGGGAAGAAAATTAACCCTACTTTTGCCCATTCCGATCCTCGAACGAAAAAAAATACCAGAGAGTTTATAAAACGAATTTAATCACAACCGAAGGACCAGTGATACTAAAACATAGATTCCCAAAAAAATATCGACATTCAACTTTAGATTTGAATTTAAATAAACAAAGATTAACCTATGAATCTAGATCATTGATTAGAGCCTTAAAGTTTGGGATTAATGTACCTTTACTTAGATCAGTGAATGTGGTAAATAATTATCTTTTAATTGAATTTATTAAGGGACCTACTGTTAAGGAATTTCTTTTGGATCCTAATTCATTTGGTTATGATATAAGTAAGTTCTTTTCTTCTCTTTGTGATGATGAATACTTTCTTGATCGACATTTTATTCATTGATGGTCTTTTTTTTCCTTTTTCTTTTTCTTCTTTTTTATAGATCAGATTTTAAGTCAGATTGGTTATGAATTATTTAAATTACATAAAGCTGATTTGATTCATGGAGATTTAACAACATCAAATATGATGATAAACCTACAAAATGGGATTCCAAAGATAGTAAGTTATCAAAAACCCAATAGTTCTTCCGATCCAACGTTCAAAAAACATATCTTACAAAAGCTTTATAAACTGATGATAACTTTGATTGATGATTTTTGGTAACACTCTCTGGATAAAGTTCCTTATAGACTTTGGACTTTCATATGTTTCGAATTTATTAGAAGACAAATCAGTAGATCTTTATGTTTTAGAAAGATCTTTTTTATCAACTCATTCTAAACTAAGCTTACCATTCTCTGAGTCTTGCTCTGAAACAAATCCTTTGAAATCCGATTCTTCTCAAACCGTTTCGGATGGCTTTCAAATCATTTTAGAAACTTATAAATCTCATTTATCTAATCAGGAATCTAAATTGTTTTTTAATCGATTTGAAGTTGTTAGAGCTAGAGGTAGAAAAAGATGTATGACAGGTTAACTTATATCATTTTTTTTTTGGTTTGATTTGTTTGTGTTTCTAACCGAATTTGGAGTTTGAAAACCTCATGATTTATATATATACCTGTAAATGTGTATAAACTGTTCAACATTGTCTTTGTCTTTCTTTTACTTGTAATTAATCTTGGTTTGATCTCACAATAAACAATGTCTCAGGAAATCAATCTTTAATATCAAATTACATGATTTCAATAAAACAAAAAAAATCAAAAAAATAATACTTTAATTTTTTTATATTGTTTAAAAAAAACTTATGAAAGACAAATACTACAACAAAAGTTTTTGGAAAAAATTCATCTGTTTTTGGTAAAAACAAAAAAGAAGAAAGTTACAAAACTAAGATAAAAAAAACGACAAGAGTTCAACGATTTTTTTTAAAAAAAAATGAATCATAAAGATTGTTCGCATGTTTCGAAATATATAAGACAATAAGAATAACAAGATAAAGTTCGGTCCTATTTTCTTGTTGGGTTGGGGTTTTATGATTTGAATTAAATTGTTTTACAAAGACTTTTTCAAAGACCAAGAAAAAGTTCAATTTAAATGATACTTGAATGCCCTTACTCAAAACTCGTCTTCATCAAGAACCCAAGCTCAAGATCACAACAAAGTTTCAATCATCAATCAAATCCAACAAATTCGCATCTTCATCTTCTTCTTTAACTTCGATCCTCGTCTGAGTCGCTTCCATTTCATCATCCGAATCTTCAATTTCAAAATCACCCACCATATATTTTCCTTTACTAGGATCATATACCACCATACAACCATCTGCCGGATCTTTGATTCTCTTCATCGTCACACCTAAGACTATATCGGGTGGTTGATCAGCTTGGAGAGGTCGTCTGAATGAATCAGTTGTTTCATCCGTTGAGATTTCGGGTATGATTTCTCCTTCTTCTCCTTCCATCAAGGGTGGGTCTCTAAATAACGGTGTCTTGTTTTTGTCTGGTTGTAATGATCCTTTTAATGCTTGATCTTCCTCTTCATCATCATCATCATCATCTTCCATCATCATCTTGATATCTCTTAACATTTGAGGATCCTCATAGTAATCATCATCATCAGAATCATCATCATCACCAATAGGTGATGATCTTCTACTAGAAGACTTATCTTCTTCATGAAATTCAGATCTTAATGGAGAATTAAGAGCCGGCGGTGAAAGTGCAATTGATGAAGAGGTCAAACAGATAGGTGAAGCAAGAGTAAGATTCCTCTTCGGTCTTGGTGGTGAACTCAATAAATCTTCTTCAAGTTGAGATTGACTAGATCCAGGTGTCTTTTCTCTATTCACGATTATATCACCAACTTGGGTGCTAGAAGACATGACTGTGTCCATATCGATTTCATCAGTAGATCGACTTTGTTCTACTTCAAGTTGATCGCTGGAAAGAGTCTGGTCTAGAGCCGCTTCGGGTTGATTGTTGGAATCATTCTGGTCTGCTACGTTTCGATGGGTAAGACGACTCTGGACAAGCTCAGCTTCGGTTTCCTCGTCATCTTCCTCTTCGATCAATGACTTGGACTTCGCAAGGGTATCCATCAGATCTTGGATCGTATTGTCATTTGTGAAAGTCAGTTGATCTGAAATATCAGATCCATCATCTGATTCACTAGAGCAATGTGGTTGGGGTAAAGGATCCGCAGGCTTATAGGGGGTCGAAGTGGAAGTAGTCCTATCGCTATTAGTGGGATTGGTTTGGGGATGGCTTGAAGTGTTGATGTTAGAGGTAGGACGGTCTAGGGTATTAGTCTGAGGACTTGAAGAGGTGTTGATAGAAGACTTGACGATGTTTGGAAGAACGACCCCGTCAAGTTGGGATTGAAATTGATTAGGCTCGACGATCGTTGGTTTTTTACGGAATGAGATGGATTTTAATACGTTTCCAACTTGTGCACCATCCATTCCATTCCAACCGAATGCGATATTAGGAATTTGTGCCTTGTTGTGCTCTTTAGAAATCGGACGTTTAGCTTGTTGAGTAGATGATACATTGGTTCGATGGTTGGAGGTCGAAGAAATTGGTTGAGTACGACTTTGAGTTGATTGGGGTACGCGTTCCGGACTTTTTGGGGTATAAAAAGGTCAGCAAATGCCACAGCCAAAGGATTTTTGAAAGATCTAACCCACCAAGAATAACGAGGTTTAGCGGTTGGTAAAGTTGATGAAGAATCTTGACGTTTGTGATTTGTTGTTGGATCTTCACGTTTGTATCGTTTTGAAGTACCAGGATGAGAGAAACCTGATGATCTTTTAGAAGATTGATCAGTTTCTCGTAAAGATTTCGCCAGGTTTTCTTGATCTTCTTGTTCTTTCTTTAAGATTCCTAAACGTGCTCTTTCTTTTGCAATCGAATTTTGACCTGATCTAATCGGAATTTTGTAATGAGGTACATCAGGATCATGGATTCTTTCCATTCTCCAAACGTAACATATATAATCAGTTTGATGACTAGGATCGACGGTATTGATTTGATTAGTGACTCGATAAAGACCGTCGTATCGGTATCCCTCGAGAGGTGCCCAAGGAGAATCACTAGCATGAGGACCACGGATGACTCGAACAGGTAGTCGAGATCGAAGTGATTTGACCATGGCTTTATTACCTACCCCATCCAAAGTTTGATCAGTTTGCATAATACTAGTCTTCTTATTAGTCTCGGGATTTGTCATGCCACCAGCACCCATGTACCTAGAATGATACAAAATTAATCCGATGTGAAGTTTGAGTACGTAAGGTTCGAATCAAGGTTTGGAGTTGGAATAGATTTCGAAATGACTGACCAAATGATATCTCCACTATCACCATAAGGATAACCTCCGTTGAGAACTACACTCTCAGCACCACCACGATTTTCATGACCTGAGATCCCGGCTTGAATCGGAGCATGAACACCAGCTTGACTGATAGCAATTCGATTAGGCCAAACCGCACCAGGTAAGACGTTAGGGATATGACCATGGCGTTGAGGATCAGGTCGGACTGCACGGGTGAGAGTTTCGTAACGAGGTGAAGAAGATGGTATAGGAGTAGTAGAAGGAGATGGATAAGTAGGATAAGTAGTAAAAGAAGGTCTAGAAGTAGGAGTTGAAGATGAAGACATTTTAGAGGTTTGATTAGATGATGAAGTTAATTTGATGTGAATCTTTGGTATTGGTAGTCGAATGATAGGAAGAGGAGAATGTTCTGAAGTTGAAGATAATGAAGTTAAAGGTGAGGATGATCTTGATCTTGAATGGTGATGGTCTGAAATCGAATCTTGAAGAGTCAGATCGATTTGTAATACCATAGTTTTGAATTTAAATTTTGAGATTTCAAGTGAGTTCCTTTATATGGTCAGTTGGATTGGTGTGTATACTTAAAATGTGCCTTTGTCTTTGAATCTTTTGTGTGTTGGACCAGTTTAATCGACTAGATCGATCGATGAGTTGATGGAACTTGAAGTGCTTCTTATGTAATCAACAGACTGCTATATCAAATCAAATCAAATGATAACAAAATCTCAATATAAGAAGGATTTCACCAATTCAACAAATCAACAAACATACAAATCTAAACAGGGTCTTAGCTCAGCTTAGCGCTTTATCAATTCATCAAGGAAATCTTCAAAATTTCAAAAACATATCAAATCATAATCCGGATCTGAAAATCTTCTCTCATTTCCAATCAAAAAACCCTTTTTGCTAAAGCTTATCAATCTTCTTTGTTCTCCGGCTTGAAACCTCTCTATCATCAGCCATATCATATCCCAAACCTCATCACCTATCCTTGAAAAAAAAGGATGTCAAGCTCAACCGAGTACGTACTCAGATTGATTAGGATTTGAAGTAACTAAACACCAATCAGCCTTTTTACTTAGTGCATCTTGATCCAGATTGATATCACTAGAACAAGCTAGAGCATCATCATTTCTTGGCCTAACTGTTCTCCTACACTACGGATCAAAAGATTTGTAATCGTGACATGTTTTCCATCACCTGTTTCCAGCATGTTGTCCTCATATGTTGAAAACATCCCCAGTAAAAATGTAACGTAAACATACGTGATTAAGTTTCAAATATGGACGTTGTACATCAGGGAATCGTCGTGGAAATGTTTTTCTTATATTATAAAACCTTGACTGAACATACACTCAGTTCAAAAAGGAGTCGATCCAATGGGGTTATTTTTTTGAAAAATTGGTTACTGCACCCGCCTGCACGTTGGGGAACTGGGCTCGTCACGAGTTTGGGCTCAAGAACTCATCAAGGTGAGATGGTGATGAGGATGCATTACATCTTTGCATGCAAGGGAAGTGAGTGTACATACAACTTGTGGAGATCACAAACGAGACAAGAAATGAACCACAGCTTTTTATGGATCGGTGTATATAAAGGAGGCAGACTGAAAGGGTATCAATGAATGGAAGCTTGATTCGCTAGCAATTGCGACGCGATTGATCGATTGATCCGATTCTAGGTGACTAAAAAATCAAAAATTGAAGTGATACTTAGAACTTCTATGTATGAGGTCGAGCTGAAGCAGGAGACAAGGTTTATTGACCAAAAGCGAACCAAATGCTGCAAACGAGAGCGATGGAAATGATTGAGCGAGATGGGAAATGCGAAATGGGGGACATGTCAGCATCCAATATTTCATGACTTCATCGACTTAACACAGGTCTGAATATGTGGAGAATGGTGATGAAGAGAAAGAGAGGTCTTACCTGAAGTCGTATAGAAAGAAAAAGGAGTCAAAGAGTGAACAGATGTGAAAAGCAAGCTATGACTTTGCTGAAAGGTTAGTGATGCGAATTCAGCAAAGGTTTTCATCACTTGGTTTTTCAAAGTCAAGCCTCAGGTCTTGGTGCAGGCTTTTCAATCCGTTGGGGCAGTTTATGTTCTGGTGAGGTATTGAGATACCTCAAGAATTAGGGTGTTCAAACCTGTGCAAGAAATGTGCAAGACCGACGTGCAAGATCCGTGCAAGATCCGTGCAAGATTTTTTGCACTAATCTTGCACAGTAATTTTTTTGACAACCCGAGTTATTGTGTTCCAAACCGTGCAAAAACCGTGCGAGACCGACTCTTGCAAGTTTTGTGCAAGATCCGTGCAAGTTCTATTCATATCTTGCACAGAACTTGCACAAAACTTGCATGAATTGATTTTGAGGTTTGAACACCCTAAATATATGTTTTCAAATTATGATAAGAAATACATCAGCCTTACATATTTTCTACAAAAACACAAAATCCACATCACGATTACAAAACAGATTTGTCACTGCTAAGTACAGTCATTTAAGAAAAGCTTGCCCCAAATTCCCCGCCAATTCGCTCGAGTTTTGCGGGCGATTTAGGGCAAGCTTTTCTTAAATGACTGTAAGTCCCATGTTTCTCAAATGTCATTACTGGAGCTGTTTTGAAGACATATTTGCCCTTAAAGTTTGGACCGTAGTGTACATATCATTCCTCAGCTAACTTAAATAAGTCCCCTCAGTGCCCGAGCCTCGAGGGGAAGAAACTCAACAAACCCGGGAGGCACGGAGGGGACTTGAAAAACCATGTTGATATGTAGAGGAAAAAGGCTTTGGGTGATCAAAAAGGGTCCGCAAATAACTTTGAAAGTTTGCGTGCCTCAGTCTGATATGCTGAGCGCCTGCCCTTGAGCTTCTTTCCCCCGAATCGGAAAACTCTTTATCTTTCCAGAGTGACGAATTTTATTGGAAAAAATCCTCTTTTGGAGGTTTCAAAGTTGCGACTTCGGCTCAGCTGATAGGTCGTACGTCTTCTGGAACAAATCAGTCTGCACCGCCAACAAAGTTTTACTGACAGTCAAATTTCCTCATGCT